TGTCCCTAGACAGGTATCTTTGGTTGCTAGCACTGCATCCCCAAAAGGAACTGTGTCCTGAGGGAAAAAAAAAAAACAACAACCAAGAACGTCCTTACTTCAATGGAATGGGAGAATCTATTTCATATAATTAAAAAAATTATCTGCAAACTTAGAACAGAACTGAATGCTTACTTCTGTGAAATGACAAACTACCAACCATAAAGTACTTTATGTTATGCCAAATTTAAGTAAAAAAAAAAAAAAAAAATTCTGAGCTGCAAACACGTGACTTATACTGACATTCCATGTTAAAATTGCAGTGCTATTCAGGTGAAGTGCTTCACTTCAGATCAGGACAGCTGCTTTTGAGTCAAATGTTCTACAAAAGAGAGACCACCTAATACTACGAATCACATTCATGTTTTAGGGAGAAGCAACCTGAGGCAAATTTAAGTCACTTGATTTGCTACTAATTACTAATACAAACTAAGTTAAATTAGCCTGACAACTATCACTGAAACCACTGAATTTGCAACAACTGACACAAGGAGTTAGTGTTCTACCCCTTTATGTCACACATGCTCTGCATTTAGAGTGTTGAACCCTAAATTTCAAAAGAAAGAACCCATTAAAAACTTACCTGTCCTGTTACTTCCTGAATTATCCTTGGTAGAAGATACTCCTCTACATGCCTAAGGAAGGTTTACAAACTGTGAATACATAGTTATATAAATCACAATGGCGTATTAAAAAATTGCATGTCAATTGCACAGGACTCTATATTAAAAAAAAGAAAAAAAACCAAACACCTTCATATTTTCCAGGAAGGTTTCAGAAATGCATGGTAAACAGTGAAGAAACAAGATTTAAAAGTTTAAGTTTTTGTAACTGTGATAGGTTGCTTATTTCTGGCTTCTTACTATTTGTATCTGTATTTTCCAGTGAATAGTTAGGTGTCCAAACAAGAAGTCTTCAGGCAAAAGCTAAAGCTTGAGATAGACTTCTTCAGTGAGAAACCTTTTTGGGAGATATCTCGATTTTACAGAGAAATAAGCATGAAAAAAGCTTCAGGTAAATGAACAGAAATAATCACATCACCCTTCCAAGAGTTAAGAGGTTGCATTGCGATAACAATAACCTCTGCATAGCTTTCATGCTTGCTCCCTTTTAGTTCTTAACTAGACCCAACAAAGAACACACAGAAATTTCAAATATCCAATAAAAGTTTACCTTTCTGAAGTGCTTCTGCATGAGTAACTGTGAACTTATCCAGAACTGACTGGTATTTAAGAGAACTCCCAGAAACTCTATTCCTTGACGAATAAGGAACGAGCAAGCAGCATCAGAGGTGTGCATCAAGCAAGAACATATTTTGCTATGCAGTTAGGTACAGGACAGCAATCCTCCGCAGTCATGATATTCTAACTGAGCTTACCCACCTCACACTGCTTCCCAGCTCAATACTGGAGAGCATGCAGCAATCGAGATAAACAAGAATAACGGGCTCCCCCAGTCCCAAACTGCATCGAGTTAGAAAGCATGCAAAAGGGAAGTGATGGCACTTATACATGGCAAGAACATTTAGCCACACTTTTTCTTCAAGCTTATTAGTCCACAGTTTGATTACATTTAATAAGCTCAACTGAACTGTAGTTATGCAGTTCTGTAGATTCTGTCTCCCTGTTACCTACGTAGCTGCACTGATGCATTGCAATAGAGATTTCCTTCCTTCTGCTGCAGATGCAAGTGAAAAGCTGTGCTTTTTAAACAATTTAACAGTAGCCAGCCTACCTTGCTTTGTTCCATGGGGTAAACCACCGAAGTTCTCTATAGTTTCCTGCATTTGCCAATGATATTTTCGGTCTAATCAAAAGAATTTTTCTTGAAACAAAAAATAAAACAGAAAGGGTGAATTAAGACCTGATGTGAAGATGAATAAGACAAGAACAAGAACACTGATGAAAATCAAGTCATTCATTTTTTTTTCTAGTGTGATGTAAATAACTGCTATAAACAACCTGTTAAAGGTTTCTGACTGAATGCTTCCAGGCTCTCCAAAGCATCCTTCAGAATGCAGTGGAAATTTAGTTTATACAAAAACAGAAGAGAAAAAGAGCTAATGGAAAGCAGACAGGAAAACAATTCCAGTCCATTAGATGGCACTGAAGAATCCTGCTTGAAGGCCAAACAGGCCTCCGAAAGGATATCCTCCTGCTTCATGCTGCAAAAGAGCATAAGGAACTACTTACTTATTTAGAAAGATGACTCGGCAATTGTAGCGAACATTTCTGTGCATAAGGGGCCTGCAAAAGTAAGGAGAAAAATTACCAGTGGCTAAGCACATTAGATTAAGTGTTCAAAGAAAATATAAAAACAACAAAGAACAGAATCTACTCCACTACACAAGGACTGTTAATATAAAACTTCTATGCTAGATCACTAGAAGGAATTAAATATAACAATGTATGAAGTTTTAACTTCTGAAGTTTGCAAAAGTCTTATCCGCTGGCCCTTTTTTCAGTTGCAGATATACCCTGTGGCTGGCTACCAGATCACAGCACACCTGAGAAACACAGATTACAACCATGCTATTGGCTGGCCTAGCTTAACCAAGCTTGACTCTACCCAGTACTACCAGGCTAATTCAAAGTCAGGAAAAGGTAGCCTTATGCTTATTCACGATATCAATACAATATCAAAAAAATGTGACACACACATACATACATATGTTAGCTTTATAATCACAGTTTATCACAACTTGCTCTTGGCACCTGACTTACGATGGTTTCAGTGATCTTGGCATACCTGTATGCTGCCTGTAAAGATATCTGCCACTTAGAGCAAGCTATATGAGCTGTAGAATTCCCAAAGACGGTCAATTTATAGAATCCTTCATTTTGTACTCAGTCCAAGGCCTAACCCAAAACCTTACCCATGGGAGTGAATCCCAGAAATGTAGAATCTCAAGAAATACTTATTCCATTCTCTCAAAGGGACCAGCTATCAGGAATCTCACTCTTCTACCTTCCAGAAAAAGAAAAGCCTGAAATTTCTTCTATTTAACATCTTCATTAATGATCTTGATGAGAGGATTGAGTGCACCCTCAATAAGTTTGCAGGAGACACCAAGTTGGGAAGGAGTGTTGATCTGCCCGAGGGGAGGAAGGGACTACAGACAGACTTGGATAGACTGGATTGATGGGCCAAGGCAAACTGCATGAGTTTCAATAGGGTCAAGTGTCAGGTCCTGCATTTTGGTCACAGCAACCTCAGGCAACCCTACAGCCTTGGAGAGAAGCAGCTGGAAAGCTGCCTGGTGGAAAGGGACCTTGGCGTACTGATGGACAGTTGGCTGAACACGGGCCAGCACTGCGCCCTGGTGGCCAAAAAGGCCAATGGCATCCTGGCTTATGCTAGGAATGGTGTGGTGAGCAGGACCAGGGAACTCATCCTGCCCTGTACTTGGCACTGGTGAGGCCTCACCTTGAGTACTGTGTTCATTTTTGGGCACCTCAGTACAGAAAGGACATGGAGGTGCTGGAGCAGGTGCAAAGAAGGGCAGCAAGGCTGGGGAAGGGCTTGGAGAATATGGCCTATGAGGAGAGACTGAAGGAACTGGAACTGGAGCTGCTCAGTCTAAGAAAAAGGAGGCTGAGGGGAGACCTTGTTGCTCTCTTCAAATACCTGAAAGGTAATTGCAATGAGAGCAGGGTTGGTCTCTTCCCACTGGTGACAGGATGAGGGGAAATGGCCTCAGGTTGCACCAGGGTAAGTTTAGGTTGGATATCAGGAAAAATTTCTTTACAGAAAGGGTTGTTAAGCACTGGAATAGGCTCCCCAGGGACGTGGTTGAGTCATCATCCCTGGATGTGTTTAAAAACCATTTGGATGCTGTGCTCAGGGACATGATTTAGCAGAGAGTTAGGGTAGGATGGTTAGGTTGTGGTTGGACTCAATGATCTTTAAGGCCTTTTCCAACCTGAGCAATTCTACAATTCTGTAGTTCTAAAGGATTGTCTTCCAGAAATTCCCTTGTACGTTACAATCATTCTGATGGAGACCAGAGTGGGAAATACAGTAATTCTTAAGATGTGTTTCCAAGATTGGGGCAAAGCCCTGACAACCCAGAAGCATCTGCTCATGCTCTCAGAAGGCTCGCCCCTCCATCCTAGCTATAGCTACACATTTAACACTTACATTCCCACGTCACAGATAATATCCTGAGTAGCTGGAGACTCCAAAAGCTTTGCCAGCACTTGAAAAGAATGTAGGAGCGTATCAGACTCATAGTAGTGATCTGCACAGCCATAACCACTGCATAAAAAGGAAAAGAAAGAGAAGATTCGGGCTGTATCAGCACTCTGATCATGGGATGAAAACTTCTCCAGAGAAGAGACGTCACACTGTGCATACAACTCACTACAGATAATAATTCAAGGGCCCTTACCAAATTTCGAGTTCTGGACCGAGCCTGTACCTAGCTCCTTTGCTCTTAGCGATGCTAATACCTGGAAAACAATTAGTTTAAGCAGCAACGCGGACACGAGCTCCGGCCCACTCAGACCCGCCGCCTCGGCCCCGCTCACTTCGCAGGATCCTCTCGGCGTTTCCTTCGAAATCCAGAGCCCACTGGTTGAGGGCACAGGCGGCCACGCTCACCGCCCGACCCATGGCAGCTTCCCACCGCCGAACCGAGGCAGCGCGCACTTCCGGGGGGGCGGGGGGCGGCAGGACAGCACCGCCCACCTCACGGACTGTTCCGTCCCGCCTACAGAGCCGCCCCACCGTGCCCGCCCATGGGTTGAGCGCGCTCCGCCAATGAGGCAGCGTGGGGCGGAACAGAGCGCGGCGCGGATTAGCCGGAGCGACAGTCAAGTGCGGGGAGAGCGCTACGCGGATTGGTCGAAGGGATGACGAGGGGGCGGGGCCAAGGGGCAGCAGTCTGAGGAGAGGAGGTGGGAGGCGCGGACGTTGCTGTGGAGCGGTGGGAATTGCTGGCAGGTAGTGTGGAGATTGGATGGATAATCAAAGTACAAATTGCGATAAGCGGATCTGCAGACAGAACTGATAGCTAGGCAGCACAGGGTGAGGGTCGGAGTTAGGCTAGAACGTAAGGAATTAGGAAATTTCTTGCAGATTTTATTCTCATCTTTGTCTCTGGGCTCTTTGTAATTGAAGGCTGTGTATAAGAGTTTTTAGCAACCTGTGTAGCAAAAAGAACCACTGAGAACTAGCTGGAATAATTATCAATGTTTTCTTTCACACAGAACACCATGGCAGCCCATCGGGAGAAAAAATCTGAAGAAAGAAATCACAAAAGTGCCCAAAATGGTGCTCAGGCTCCTCAGGCACAGTGGGGAAGAGCATGGTGAGAGAAACTCAATTGTCATTGATTTCACATTGGTTCTTTCTTTTATAGATGTCACGTTGCTTTTGAACTGCATGCCGTTATTAAAAGATGAGTGCAGTGCTAATGATAACGAGCTGTACTATCAGTTGCTAAGAAAGGTTTTCTCAAGGTTTCTAAGTGTGGAACTTGTTAGACAGCTTAGGTTGCGACACAGCCTTTCTTGCAAAAAAAAAAAAAAAAAAAAAAAGTATAAATGGGTGATAATTTGTACTTTCTTCAAAGATGGAACAAAATATTTGCTGCCTTTTGGAAAACAAACAGCTATCTGTGCTATTGGCACATGCTGTAGCAAGACTTAAGAGCCATGCTGTGAAAGTATAGTGCAAGTGTTATTAGAGTGTTAATACAGTGCAGCTGGAAACAGCCATGGCTGTTCGTATGGCTTCCACAGATGTTGGTGCTGCAGCACATTCAGCTTCTGGCTGTCGAAGATCTGTCTTGTCTGTGTTTCCAAGCTTTGCAAAATGTTTCTGTGATTCTGTTACTGGTTCCAACTGAACCCTCTACCAGTTATACCTGTGACTGTCATAAAACAAAATAGCAAAAAAATCAAACTGACTAAATGAGAATTATTAACTAGAAAGCTGGGGAAAAAAAAAAAAAAAAGTTCTGTTCTTGCTTACAGGGAGGTAGACTGGTTTTCCTTGGCAAGCATTCTTTTCCTACTCGCATTTGCACCACTTATCGTGTATTACTTCATCATGTCCTGCGACCAGTACCAGTGCTCTCTGACTGATCCACTCATCAACTTGCTCATGGGGAATAAACATCTGTCTGACATCTGGAACAAGACTCCTTCTCTGACTTACACAGCTGTTGGCATCTATGCTGCTTGGGTTGCTTTCCAGGTGTGTTATTAAATTATGATCTAGTGGCTGTTGTTAAAAGCAGCTCTTTCTTTAATTTACATGGAAGATAATAGAACGTCATGCTGTCTTTCTACTTTTTTTGTTTATCACTTTGTGTCTTGGAATCCAAAAAAAAAAAAATCCGCAAACTGCTACCATCGTTGTGTTATAAGTAAGTGACTTACTTATAACAGGTTAAATTAAAGGATGAGGAGCCAAGTCTAGTTGGCAACTGTCCTCCTTGTGAAAAAAAACAGCCATAATCATATATGAAGTGCATCTTTAAAATCTTTAGTAGCTGGCACATGTTTCTAGTCTAAAATCACAACAGCCACTCCTACAATATTTGTTGATTGAGTACTTAATTGAAACTGCTGTGTGTTATCTTCTGTTATGTGTATGAAAGCATCTGGGGATTTTCTCTTGTCCATTTTTTACTGTTAATATGTCTGTCACTTCTAGGTGATTTTGTATGTGTTTGTTCCTGACTTCTGCCACAAGTTTCTTCCTGGTTATGTAGGAGGTGTACAAGAAGGTGCTGTCACTCCTGCTGGTAAGCTTTTCCTTGGAGTATACTACAACATACTCGTATTCTTTCTGAATGACTGCCCTTCTGTACTTCATTTTTAATAATCTGTTTTTATCTGGAGGAAACTTGGACATAAATGTTTTTACTCTCCATATGTTTATTTAAAGTAATCAAGCAAATCATTCATCTTCTTCTAGAATTGATTGTAGAATTTCTGTCTCTTATTGCTAGTAAAACTGTTGGTTGTGCAATTAGGTGATTCACGCGTAAAGAAAATACAGAAAGCAGTGTAGCAGCAGTGGAAAAATACAGATTGTAAGCAGCAAAATTACATATCAACAGCAGACTATTGCTGGTATCTGACAATGCAATCACAACTTTTTTAGGCAAGGTAACTTGCAAAATCTGAGCAAAGTGTGTGATGTGAGCAAAGGGTAATGTGAAACCTTAGTAAATTTCAGGTGAGTGTATAATCAAGATGTTATAATTACAATATAATCAAGAGAATTAGGCAAAGTAAACAACGATCACAAAAGAGAATTAGTGGAAGAGCTTACCCTTCAGCTGAGCTCACCAGAAGATACCAAGAGGGGTGATCTCCAGAAGAGATCCTTCCCCACTGCCAGTCAGCTCTTAAATGGGCCTAGGAGAGATGGAGCCAGGCTCCATCCCTTCTGACAACACAACTGAATTGCCTTCACCTGTGTTCCTGTGGCTGACTCATGGCTCGCCTCAGGTGATCAATCAGAGGTTCAGGCCGTGACTCAGCAGTTCCCATACAGGTGAGGTTGCAAATCCACCATTTTGTGAAGAGAGTGAAGAAAAAGCTTAGCCTGAGAGGTTCTAGCACAGTATAATGAAACTCAGAAAAGCACCTTAAGGTTGGAAAGGTGATGTTTCAAGGCAGGTAAGGAGAGACGCTCATTTCATGAGCATGGGTGTTGAGCTTCTAGATACTGCATGCACGTCCATATTAATAACTGTACTAATGAGTTATCAGTAGTATTGATCTTCTTCACTTTTTAGGTGTAGTAAATAAGTATGAAGTCAATGGACTCCAAGCTTGGATCATTACCCACGTACTTTGGTTTGCAAATGCCTATTATTTCCACTACTTCTCACCTACCATCATTTTTGACAATTGGATTCCTCTCCTGTGGTGTGCCAATATCCTGGGATATGTGGTTTCCACATTTGCGATGATTAAAGGCTACTTCTTCCCTACTAATGCCAAAGATTGGTATGTGTTTTCTAATAATACAAGAGTACAGGAATTCAGACATATAGCTGGGCCAGTGTACAACTGTGATTTTTTGCTTAACAAAGACATGCAGCATGAAACAGAGAATGGTGCATGTCTAGTAATTGTTGCAGCCTCAGTGTCGTGAATATATCTGTCTTGCATGTGTCCAACAAGTAAGATTATACTTGAAGCGCTGAAAAGTGATACCAAGTTTCAACTAGGATGCCCCCAAATCTTAAAATGGATCTTTTACTAATGAAATGCTTTGGTTGGATCACTTTGTGTGAACTTACTTACAACATGATGTGGTTTTAGGATTTTTATCACTGTTGCATCAAGCACCTTGGAAAATAATTTGAAATGTATAATTGGAATAGTAAGCACTTTCATTTATAATAACTATATAAATTTCTAATCTTTTCTATTTTCAAGCAAATTTACTGGCAACTTCTTTTACGACTACATGATGGGGATTGAATTTAACCCTCGAATAGGGAAGTGGTTTGATTTCAAGCTGTTCTTCAATGGACGCCCTGGTATTGTAGCCTGGACTCTGATTAACCTTTCGTATGCTGCTAAACAGCAGGAGCTGTATGGTCACATAACCAACTCAATGATCCTTGTTAATGTCCTTCAGGTAAATTGAGAGGAGGAGATTAAGATATCAATTTGAAAATAAACTAGTATTAAAGTAGGAAAAATACCTGCACTGAATTTGAACTTACACTGTTCTGCCTGGCCTGACCAATATCATGCAGTGATGATGTGCTGGGTCTTGCTTCTTTACACATTTTCATTCAGAAGGCTGCTGGGAATAATCCAGTGTATCTGTTAGTACAAGGAGAATAGTTGTGTTACTTATTTTGGTTAACGCTGCTTGGCTTGCTTGTTACTTTTTTAGCTCTACAAACGTAGTGTAGTTCTTCCTATATATGTTATGTTCCTCTTAATGCTCTTATCATTGAGGTGTTAAAAACACAGGTTAGTTTTGAGATCTTAACCACAAGACAGCACAGAAATTTCAGGTTGATACTGTTAAATAGGATGCCAGTGTTATGTTATTAATGTATGGAATTGTTGAATCACAAGGTGGGAAAGGACCTACAAGATCATCTAGTCTAACTGTCCTCCATTACCATTGCTACCACAAGCACTAAACCAGATCTATTAGCTCCTCATCCAGACACCTCGTGAACACTGCCAGGGACGGCAACTCCACCACCTCCCTGGGCAGCCATTCCAGTGCCTGACCATTTTGAGAGAAAAAGTTTTTCCTTATGCTTAATCTCAACCTCCTCTGGTACAACTTGTGGCCATTTCCTCAGGTCCTGTTTGTTGCCTGGGAGAAGAGGCCAAACCCCTCCTCAACCTCCCTTCAGGAAGCTGTAGAGTGCAGTGAGGTCTGCCCTGAGCCTCCTCTTCTCCAGACTGAACAATCCCAGCTCCCTCAGCCGCCCCTCATAAGACTTGTGCTCCAGACCCCTCACCAGTTTTGTTGCCCTTCTCTGGCCACCTTCCAGGGCCTGAATGTCTTACTTGTAGTGAGCGAATGTAGAATCGTTGCAGTGAGTGATGTAGAATCATTCTTTTTCAGGGTATTTATGTTTTGGACTATTTCTGGAATGAAGCCTGGTATTTGAAAACCATTGATATCTGCCACGATCATTTTGGATGGTACTTGGGCTGGGGAGACTGCGTTTGGTTGCCTTACCTCTACACTCTGCAGGTAAAGATAGGGTAAAACCTTTGGGCTAAAAGGAAAGAAGCTTTCCAGAAACGTTTTCTCTAGCAGATTGGTGTTTATCTTATTTTCTTTTCTTATAGCTTGAATACTGACTATTACTACACTCTGTAATAATTTCATTGTATGAGAGCCTTCTGTCCCTGCATGGAATTAACATCTTCTCTCTTTTGTACCTCTTTCTGTCACTGTCTGTTGTTTCATCTGCGTATTTTTTTTAATTCCCTTCAGTCCCTTTCTGTACTCCTTTCTGTTGGATGGTTGTTTGACTGGTTTGTGTTTTCTTCCTCCCCCTTTCCCATTTGGTCATCACCCACACAATTTTTCCCTTTTTCTTCTGTAACCTAAGAAATGCGTCAGTGGAAAGAAAGTAGATGTATGATGCAGGATTTCCTGAAAAAGATTCCATCTTAGTGCTGATAGGATGAATTTTTGTGCTCTTTCTAATACTCTGTCCTGGGTCACTGTAGGTCAAAGAATTCATCTGGCAGCTGTGGTGTGTTTTTAAAGTAAATCACTGCATGTCTCTGTTCTGTCTCCCAGGGTTTATATTTGGTTTACCACCCTGTGCAGCTCTGCACAGCTAATGCCATCGGGATCTTGGCGTTGGGCTTGGTTGGCTACTATATCTTCAGAATGACAAACCACCAGAAAGATCTCTTCCGCCGTACCAACGGCAACTGCAAGATATGGGGCAAAAAGCCCAACTACATTGAGTGCTCCTACATGTCTGTGGATGGGACCAAGTACTACAGCAAGCTGCTGACCTCAGGGTTCTGGGGGTGGGCACGCCATTTCAACTACACTGGAGATCTAATGGGCTCCCTGGCCTATTGTCTGACCTGTGGGTTTGAACACATCTTGCCTTACTTCTACATTGTTTATATGACTATTCTGCTAACTCACCGTTGCATTAGGGATGAACACCGTTGTTACAGCAAATACGGGAAAGACTGGAAACGCTACACTGCTGCAGTACCCTACCGGCTCCTACCAGGGCTGTTTTAAGGTGACACAGAATCTGAGGGAAATAAGCTTTCTTCTAAATGAAAAGAGCTTATTTGCACAGGTAAACTAACAAAAAAACGTTGGAATAGACACCATTCTCTGGGGAACAAAAGGTGCCTGGAAAACTGTCCTTAATGTACTGAGGGAACATGCTTCTGGTAAGCAGGCAGACTGCGTAAAGAAAATGAAACAAGGCACAGAATTGGCCTTTTTAATAGACATCTCCTGAAAGGTCTGTTTTACCAGGAACTCTTCTTTCCTCTCTCAGAACTACCTTGGAATTGAAGAAAATTTGCATGCATTTAGACTACAGAAATCTCTCCAGTGCTGGGAGGAGGCCTCAATCTTCACAGCAGCCAAGTACTTGAAGGCAGTTACCAGTGAATTAGAGGAGGAGGGAAATAATGGTGTGATCGCTTCAGGAAAGGAACAGTATGGTTGCTTGTGACAGTTATAACCTTCAGTGGGTAATGTTCTGAAGGAGTCTGGGTTTGCTTTCAAGAGGTTAACGTGGGAAATATCTAAACTGGTGTTTTGGAAGATTGGTGTAATCTGACTCACAAGTATTTGTGCAGGCTAATGTAAGTTGGTATGGCTCAATAATTCCATTGGCACTGGAGATACGTGGTCTGTGACCAAGCGGTTATTACTGTCATACTGAAACTAAACTTGCTTTTTGAAGATACGGAGTATAGGTTGATTTCTTTACTGTGGATAGAAAACTTTGTTCACTGTCATTTTTATCTAAAATAATGTTTGATGTTTGTAATAGTTTGAGAAGTAAAAGCTTAGTTTGAAGACAAGTAAAAAAAAAAAATACAGCCAATTTTCCTTTCAGCTGTTTCTTTTCTTGTTAATAGTTATCTTTCAAAGTTACAGGATTCAAGAGGAGCTCTTGGAAAATACAGTCCAAGGAGCAAATTCAAGAATGCAGAAGTGAAGCACAAACAAAAAGGGAGGATCAGAATATACCAACTATGCTTGTAATGAGTTTGGTAGCTGTGTTCACATAAATACACCATTTTTTATAGTAAGTAGAGAACTATATGAACTGATTTCTTGTAGGCGATGCTGAATGCACTGGCAGATATGAATGAGATGTGTTGGAATGCCTTTTAGTTCTGTTGCAGTGTTCCTGAAGGGATGGCTTTCCCAGGTGAAAAAGGATTTCTCCAGTTCTCGAGAACAAATGCAGCATGAGGTTGGGCTGTGTCTCAGGGCAGGATTTACAAGTGTGTATAGAGATGCCTTTGTGGAGAAACCTGACTCTATCACCAATACTATCTCTAGGCCTGATAACTGTTGTGTCATTGGCAGATAGTCATGAAATACTTTGGTGTGTATTGAAGCTGAGTTAGGAGTAGCTGTATCTGATCATTTCTGCTCTCTAATTCTAAAGCATTCCTGTGGAGTGAAAAAACTTATGTTATGAACCTTAACAGTTTGCCAAGGGGCAGTGCTTGTAATACATCAGAGCACTTGTTTTGGAGGAAGGGGAGTTAGAGTGTAGGATGCAAGGGCTGGTGGAGCCCATCGGTTGCTGGCACCTCACTGCTTATGCTGACCCAGATTTTGCTGGAGTAATTGGATAGTTTCTTGTCTTGACTTGCCTGAGACCACACCCTTATATCCTTTTCTTGAATAGTAGCCTTGGAATTTGTACTGACAGCATGCTGATAATGCCAAGGCTCTTTAAATATTGTGAGATAATCTGAGCTCTAAATCATGGTAGCCTTGCACCACATGGCATGTTCCTGTCTTTTCACTGATAAGTCCTGGATGACCAATGGAAGAAATTGCCCAATTAAGGCCAATTAAAAAATAAAAAATCAACGTTTAAAAAATAAAATTGGGGTAATTTGAAGTGAAAGAGCAATACTGCTGCATGTGAGAATTCTGTGGGAGAGTGTTAAGCTCAGGGTAGGAAGCAATTGGTTGTGAGGTTTTTCAAGCAAGGGGCCATCACTGGGTTAAACTCACATCCTCTCTGATGTAAGCATGACAGATCCTGGCTCTTCAGGCTTTCCTGCTTTCCATACGCAGTTTCATGTCTGTTTTGATGACTGCATCAGAATGAACTATGTGTGTAGAGGGATTTACATCTGGCTGGAAAAGGAAGTGGTAACTGCACCGAGGCTTATACTTCTTATACATAAGTGATCCTGGGGGGAGCGTTAAAAAGAATTATCAGTTCTGTAAGCTTCCTGCTAACGTGAATGTCAGCAATGCTCTAAGCCACGTGCAACTGATGTCAGCCTTTAAAACTGAATCATTAAAAAGACAATTGAACGTAGACAGAGTCTTGTATGTGCCACATCTTGTGGTGCAGGCACGTTTGGATTTGTTGCCTTCAGAATGCCAAAAAGTACGTCACTATGTGTTCTGCCCTGAAGGGTTATTCAGTGTGTGTATTAGGTTAGCTTTGGCTCTGATATTTCACATTTATTGATACTGTGCTATCAATACCTCCAGTCAAATTTTGAGAGCATATGCCTCTGTGGAATGCTGGGAATTCTAAATGTAAGATTGCCAAGATTTGTAACGCTGAAATTGATTTAACTTGGTTTAAAGCCAGTGGAAACATGCAGCAAAAACTCCTGATAATTCCTTGGAGCAGTAAAGAAGCTAAAAGTGTGGTATTTTAATACACTGACTTTGGACTCCTGCAGGGAGACAAGTACCAAAAGCCAACAAGCAGGGTGCAACAGGCTGGGCACACTCCAGAGTGCTGTACATCTACAAAGGGGAATCACAACCTTCTAGCAGGTAGCCACTACTGACTGCCAGTCGCCCATCTGTAGATGCCGACGGGAGGCCTTCCCATGTTTCACAACCTGTCCCTAGATAGTATTGCAATAAGATGGCATCGCTGAGATCTGATCTCCACCTTTCAGCATAAGGAAGACTGCTAGTTTATAACTCTTGTTGCAAAGCTGAAGTTCGGTTGATTCCAACCCAACCTGTAAGAATGCTGACACAATTCTACAGCAGACTGAAGCACACACGATGCATTTAGGTATTAAACATATAAGCTCCTCTTTCATAATCTCTAACTCTGTACAGCTCAGTAACTGGCCAGTTACTGCCTCAGTGCTGTGTGTAAAATGCAGTGAAATGTGGTAACTCAGTTGCAGCTTTCTTCAGTGACAACAGCAGTGCATATTGTTGCCTCATGGTGGCAGCCACAAGACATTTTCTGCTCTCAGCTGTCAGTGTTCAGATCACTGCTGCCTGCTTAACACAGACCTGCACTGGTCCAGTTTAAATAATGCACTGTCTTTACTGGACGTGAAAAGTGATGTGCAATGGAAAATAGAACTGGAATTGTGGTTTTTTCTGCTACAGTTTGTTCAGGAAGAAAAGGCTGAGAGGGGAGAAATGACCACCTTTCTCTCTGTGTTCTCCTTGCCCTGGCTCTCCTAAACTTCCCTTTTGCATTATCAGCCACCAGCTGATAAGCTCAAAGAGAGTGACCATGTGGAGTTGCTTTGTCCTAATGGGTTCTCTTGCTGACTAGCAGAAAACGCTTAGCAGACCAGGACATCCCTAACCTTTACAAGGTTGGTTCTCTCAAAGATGCTTTTATTAGTTGAAAGTCAGCAGCCTGATTCTGTCTGATGTGCTCTGCTTTGCTTTGCTCATGATATAGCAGGAGAGCTGGCTCTCAATCATGCATGGTTCAGTTTGGGATGAGTGGCAGTGCAGAATCCTTGGCCGGTGCCCGTGGGCTTCCTTGCAACCCGGGGCCCATCAGCTATTGCCTTATCCCTCAGTGCCTCCCTGCTCCCGGCAGTGAGCAGCTGTGCACAGATAACTTGGAAAAGGATCACTGCTTAGGAAAATTGCTCAGGGAATGCACACAACCCATTTCATTTCCATTTAACGAACAGCTCTTTGTTTTATTCTAGGGGTGTAAAGGGAGGAAAAGTTAAAATGTGCCTTCTGTGGGCAGCTTTTGGTGGTGTTATTCCTGTGGCCCCATAAAAAGCCCTTGCGCAGCAGTCCTGGAAAACAAATTTAAAAGATAGAAAATATGGAAACGGAATGGCTCCTCTCTGTACCCTTGTTGTCCTCAGGCAGTTAGCAAAGGCTTTGCCTGAGCTTACTTTGTCACTGCATGCTGGCAGATGGTACAACTGATGGGCAATAAAAATCAATGCCCCCTGTGTGTACAAATCCCACAAATACAACAGGACGATACTTAGTTTCAAGTGCAAATTTGTCTGCCTGCTCAGCAAGAACCAACTCTTGCCTACTGTTGGGAGCTTTGCTCTAGAATTCTGCAAATTCAAACATTGTTTCTTCTGTAAAGCCAGCTGTATGTGCAGTAGAAGGAAAGCATTTCTTCCTCCTTCTAGAAAGCTTCTTATAGATTAGCAAAAATGATGCTGGAGGTGAGGCCCCCAGGCAACAAACATTAAAAGATACCAGATTGAAAAGGTGCCAGTGTACTGCTGTAAGCACTGCTACCAACAGCCGTGTGCAGAGAATCTCTAACTAACTCACTAGTTAGCTCAACTGACTTCTACTTTAACAAATAACTTCTTGTACGCCAGGTTCTTAAACTGGAAAGCAAACTCTTCTTCAGTTATATTTTTGTGCATCCGCATTCTGGTATCTGTTATCTATCAAGGTAGCAAAATGCCTCCCAAATCTTTGTTCCTCAGCTTCCCTACCGTGAGCTCGACATCCGCAGCATAGAAAACATTTTGTGATGCCAAGCTAAATTAAAGCTCTACGCATTTATGAAGTGGAGCTGCTTTGATGTCTATTTATGTAGCAGCTGTGCATACAGAAGGAAAATCTGTATTAACATGTCAGCTAGAGTTTGATTTTGCATTCATTCTGCAGCATCTGGATGGCTAGCCGAACTTGCAGCCCAGCAGTACCCACGCCTGTCCTTTCCGTGCTGGGAAAGCAAGCAGTAGCAGTGCATACAGCTTTCGGTACCTCTGTTCAGAGCTATTTTCTCTTTACCAACTCATTCACCATATTCTAGTGAAAGAAGTCTTTTCTGCTTGCATCAGGTTTTCACAGTCCAGATGTCTGAACCGCAACTTCCAAGCACTGGAAGGCCACAATGAGGTCTCCCAGCAGCCTGCTCTTCTCCAAGCTAAGCAAGCCCAGTTTCCTCAGCCTTTCTTCACAGGAGAGGTGCTCCATCCCTCTGAGCATTCTCGCAGTCCTTCTCCGGACCCGCTGCCCCAGCTCCTTGTCTTTCCCGTGTTAGGGGCCCCAGGTCTGCACGCACTACCCCAGCTGAAGCAGCCGCGTTTTGCCACCTTCGCGGTTCTCTCGGTAACTCGCGGCCCCGCCCCGCGTGCCGGTAACCAGGAAGCAGGAAGCAGCGGAGCTCGGCCGGCGGCATGGCCGGGGGCGGCCCGGCGGTGAGGGGCTCGCAGTGAGGGGCGGGCGCTGGCGGCCGGCATCCGCCGTGGGACGGACGGCTGATACCGAAGGGTCTTCCCGGGTTCTGGACGCGCTCGGGAAACCCTGGTTCATGTCAGGCCTGGGGGGACCCTGCGGTGCGCGGCTGCATGCGGGGCGTGCTCTGCTGCTGCCGGGAGGCTTCCCGGTGCTGCGGCTCGGAGCGTGCGGGTACGGGTGGTGGTCTGTAGCGTGCCGTCGCTGCTCTGGGAAAGGTGTGCCGCTGGCAGCTGGTTTTGCACGGGGTCACTAAATCCCCGCGTAGTTCCGTCTCATAGAACGTAACGGTGTCATTTCTGTCCTCCCACGTTTCCGCTCGGAGTGGAAGCTCCAAGTTTCGCTTGCGTTGGAAACCCACTTCCGTGCTTACACTGGACTCGTTCGGGTTGGAGAAGACCTGAGATCTCAAGAGATTTCAAGCTTTCTGTTATGGCTGTAGTCTCATATATCGTTACAGACAAGGACACCTACCCATGGTCACCTTATTGTTGAAGTGTGGAGCAGATCCCAGCCTTATTGATGGGGAAGGATTCAGCAGCATTCATTTGGCAGTGCTGTTTCAACACGTGCCCATTGTAGCTTACCTCATATCAAAGGGCCAGGTACGTTGCCACTGTCCCAGGTGTTATTTTCTGCTCAGAAGTAGCTGGGTGTGCTCTGAAAATGCTTTGTGGAATTTAAATGTTATCTCCTAAAGTACAAGCATGTATTTGGTATTTCCCTGTGCTATACGTGCTACATTTAAATAATTATGTGTTGATACCTGATTGTATTTTGTTCTTTTAATGAACCAGTTTTATGTACTTGAACATTCAGTTATGCACTTCATTCCTTTACACAAGGGAGATATTTACTGTTGCTTTCCAAAGTGGAATTTACAGTATTTTTTTATCAAGAGGGGACATGAAATACTGTTAGTGGAAGGAATTCTGTAGATGTATTTGATTAATTTGAAGTCACTTTAACGGGCACTCAGCATATCCTGAAATGAATGCTGTTCAAGACCCATGGAAGGAAAACAAATTATTTAAATTGGCTTCCTGGCAGGTACAATTTAGTTTCCTCTTGCTGCTGTGGTGTGGCTGTGTAGCTAAGAATCTGACCATTTAACTTTGTTTACTGAAATCCGTGATCATCACTTACTATCTTTTTCTTATTCCTAGAACATAGGCACAGCAGACTTCAGCGGACTTACGCCTTTAATGTTATCAGCACAGAAAGTGGTGGGGTAAGTGGGGAATAACTTTTAAAAGCATCTGTTGTCCACTCATTCCTGGGTGCAATGCTGAATCTTTTCTTCTGGTTCTGTCACTCTTGTTAGAGTGACATTTTTTTCTCTTCTGCTTGTTGTAAAATAGTACGTATCCAAGACATAGGAGATGATGAAGCAGCTAACTTGGTACAGTAAAGAAAGACCCACCCCCAAAAGAGCTATCTTAAAGTAGTTTAGGTTTGCAGCTGGACCAGCTGGTGTATCATTGTGCTTTCCTAGAAATGAAGGTGAAATGAAGGATGAGTTCTGTTTTCTAAGCTTGGCTCTGTTGCTGATGAGCTTGTTGAGAGACAACACGTTTGTATCTGCTGTTACTTTGCTGCAGATGCTAGCAATGTTTTTTGTTAATAAAGTGTTCAAAAGATTCCAATGCAGATGACGTTCTGTTTGTTAACTCTGTTTTCATCTAGACCAGAGCCCACAAGATTTCTACTGAAGTTTAACCCCTCCCTCAGTGCTGTGGACAATGTCCAGAAGAACACTGCGCTGCAGTAACATCAGGAAATGTTAGTGCAGTGGAGCTACTGCTAGAAGCTGGTGCTAACATGGACATTAAAACTGTCAAGGTACAATTTCTTTCATTGTTTCTGTCATTTTCATCTATGTAGTATTAATGGGTAAAATGAATATGAAGAAATACCTGAATCCCTTCCCCTCTGAATGTTCTTTGAAATGGATGGGGGGAATAAGGCAAGAGTTCCTATGCTTTCCAAAAAGAATTGGGCACTTTGCTTGTGATGTGACACAAAGTAAGAATGTGGAGATGGTTTGAAATGTTAGTTTAGTGAACACCTGATCACTGCGAACAAATGTATTGCAGCCTTCACAGATTCTCTCTTATTTTTTGTTTGCTTTGAGCCAGCTGTTCTCTACAGCATGGCCACAAGTAAAGCCTTCAGCCAGGTTTGGCAAAAATAATGCTGCTTTGTGTCTGGTGAGCCTCGTAAGGTCTTGAAAAAGATGAGCGTGGCATCCTGAAAAGATCAGTGTCTGTCAGTGCCAGTTTGTGCACTGAGAAGTGCGCGTCATGTGAAAGTCTTAGCCCTAAGAAAGGAAGAACTAAGCATGAAGAACTATTAATATTGAAACTATTGATTCCCATAGAGATGCTTGCATAGTGTAGTGATTCTGGTTTGTGTATTCAGCTGCACAGCTTTTCCATCTGCTAGTTGTTTTGCTTTTCTTTTAATATATGACTACTAGAATGTTACTGTTTGGTTTTAAAAAGTTAACATAAACAAGAAAGCTCCCTTTCAGTAAGGGATCACATTCAGTAAACTTGTCATGTTCTAAAAGACTGTTTAGTGCTTCAGGTTAGGAGAGACAGTTCAGCAAGTGATTCGTGTGCATGCAGTTGATTGCAACTATCAGTCTTTAGAACTACAGAGCACCAGATGAAGCGTGTTAGAACTCAGTTTACTTTACCTTTGCCTTAAAGAAAAATGGTGGGTTTGGGGAAGAAGCTAGTAAGTTCTTGTTTTAGTTCAGTTCATTTCTTGTTTCTGTTACAAAGGAAGACGTTCATGTGTTAAGTGCCTAACCAAATGAACTTTGTTGTTAAAGGGAGAGACAGCCCTTGACCTTGCAATTCAAGCTCAGAATCACTTCATCATTTATATGTTAATGGAGGAAGGAAGAATGAGAAGCAAAAGGAATGACAGGTTACTGAGAATGATGGAGAAATACGAGGCAATGTCACTAATGGAAGGAAAGCTTCAGCGTTCCCAGTTCAGAATAATATGTAACTTACCTCCGTTCTGACAACAGGATCTTCTAGGCTTCCAAAATTGGACACTCAAAAATGAAATGTTTTAGAAGCACCTTCCTGTTCTTTGGGTGTTTGTTCCCCCCTTTCCCCCACCCCATTGTTGTTTTCCCTCCCTCCTTATCCCCTGTGTTTTGATGTGTCACTTTGTTCCCTATCTTGAGTCTCTCAGCATTTGTTCTTATATTAAGTGTATATATTGGAATAAATCCTGCTTGAATATTCTGTCATATTTTAACAGTGATCATTTTAACAGCTGTTCCTGCTGCTGGCATCTTGCTTGACTGTGTTGTGGGCCATAGGATACGTAATGAACTCAAGTTCTGATTCTTGGCTTTTGAAAGGATGCCTGCTTCTCTTTCTGCTGGTTGGGATGGCCCTGTCTGTGAGGTTTGTGGATTTCTCTCTTTCTGTGTATTTAATTCTAATAGATGCAGTACATGGTACGTAATACAGTGTTCTTTTCAGAGTCTGCAGCTTCACTTAGAAGGTTTTTTGGTTTGTTTTTTTTTTTTTTTTTGCTGTACTGTAGAAAGGATTGTGTGAAGGATTTAAATATATGTACTTTTCATAATGATTTTGAAATGTGGTGTCTTTAGATGGTCAAAATTGTAGTTTCTGATCCTTGAGATCTGAGGAGAAAGCAAGTGTTTAGGTGGCATGTTAGCTGGTTTTAAAAATAAAGAGGGTGTTACTGAATGCCTGCACCTGACAGAAGCTGAGATACCCATTTATGAAGTTTATAAATGTGCTTTATCTTAACTTTTCCCTCTGTATTTGCAACATAGCATGAGTTTCAATGTACCGTTCCCACCCTCTGTGTTCCCCAGACCTCCTAGTGGTATCCTGAGCTGTTTTGCACATTTCCCATTTCTTACAGCAGTTACTAAATTGTGTTCCTGGAAATGGCAATACTGTTGTTGTGTCAGTAAATAGAGTTTGTCCTTTTCACCTAATGTGCAGCTGCTCGGATATGTATAATTAGGCTGGACAGAACACTCCTCAGTAGATGTTTTTCTGTATCACGAGTTCTTCTGTGCATCTGGCTAAAGCATGCTTCTGAGTGGCAATTTTGGTTTGCTTTAACAGAGGCTTAAAGAATACCGAGTGAAGTTTTAAAAATCAATTAAAAAAAACCAACCACGCAAAGTCTGTACTCCACGAAGTTCAGTTTTGGGTGAGAGAAAAATGCTCTTTTATTTTCATCTTCTTTCAGGCAGTTTGTGGGAGTCAAGAATCTGAGGTATCTTCCCACAGCACTGATGCTAAGTTCCGTCTTTTGGATGTCTGTGACGTGGTTTTTCTGGTTCATGCCTGATATCCTTTGCAATGCAGTAGAACTTCCCTTTCACTTTCTAGTAAATGTAAGCCCAGTTGTGCAAGGAGTGACCAACAGTCCCAGCTGATGCCATGCGACTGCGAATGTCTGTTAAGATTACTTTACCTACGTTGGGCCAGGGTTAAATAGCTTTGTGTTTAAATGGAAGTTACAACAGACTGAAAATACGTATCTTCTTTTCTCTTTGACAGGTATTTGTGTGTAGTTCTGATGTTTTTGTTTTGTGTTTTTAATCTTACTGGGATATCAAAATGTCTTTGTTATATGCATGGTTGTAGAGTCACCTGGAGATGCCATATGTAGACCATGTTCCCTCTTTGGGACCATCCAGTAATGTATTTTGGTATGCTGTAAAGCTGGATAACACATGCATCACACATTGCAGTTGTAAAAGTATCTCATTTCTAAATGACAAGGATTTGGCAGTTGGTGGTATTCGTGCTTCTGCTTTAAAAATAAATAAATAAAAACGTCAGGCAAACAAATTTATTTGTATCCCTTGGAAGCAGACCTTCCGTTCTCCAGTCTGCATTTGTTCAGAGGTTATGCAGCACCCTCAGTGCACAGTGCATTCATTTCTACCTTTCTTTGAATAGGCCTTGGACTGATGAGTACCTCTATTTAATTGTTTACACTCACTTTTCAGCACTGTGTTCTTACACAGAAGGCACCTGCTTATTTATTAAGTTTTGGGAAGGGAAGGCCGTTAGGGAGGTACTTAAAATGTCAATAACTGTTGCTTTGTGACGTTCTAAGGTTTTCTTGGCGTCGTCTAAATTAAACGAAAGCAAGAATTCTAACTGTAGGGGTTAAAGGTAGATGTTCTGCAGAAGATGATGAACACAGCAATATTCCTAAGGGTTGTAGCTTAGTGAGGTGATGTTTTGCTCTTTCTATCAAACCCTTGCTCTGTAGAGGTCAACGCCGTTCTTTTTGTTTTTGTGTATTGCTGGTGAAATACCACACTCTGATTGTAGAATATTTACTTGGCAAAATGTGATGAGAGAATATATTCCTTAATCTAACTGTTACATGTGACCAATGCCATTGTTGAGATCCCTGTCATGTTCATCCTAGTGGGTCTTCTTTATTTTTTCTATAAAGCCTGAAGGACTGGTCCTGGATATATTAAGTCTTCAGAAAAAGACAAAAAAGAGGTAAGCTGACATGCTGCACCATGGTTGCACTTCTGATTGACTCGTTTATCATCAAATGTATCTTTGAGATTTTAGTTGTATCATCAAGCAGCGTAGGTTGTCGGATGATAAACCCAACCTGCTGTGGGTTTATCTTCAGCACCTTGCTGTTATTTCCTGGCCTCGGTCTTCTCATTGGAATATGAGCTTCAGCCAAGCATGGTACGGCCTGGTGCCTTTGCTATAACCTATGGCATAAAGTCACAGATACTTCACTTAATAAATAACACTCTTGTAAGGTTTTTGTTCTAGCTGTCTCTGGTGAGAAGGAGGTACAGTGCTTTCCTAAGGTTGTCCGTACTGAAGGCTAGCAATGATGAGCATCTTCAGATATTCAGTATTTTCTAGCTGTGTTTTACAATGACAGAAAAAGGAAATGCACTACCAGTCAGTAGGAGGTTACTTGTTTGCTCCTTTAAGCTAGTGACTGTGACACCGTGTGGTTTACAGTCTCCTTTCGTTCTCCACATGGTTATGTTTCTTCTGCTTGCCAGGGAGATTAAACTGCAATTTTAACTTTTTTGGCATTGTGGCCACAGAACTGGTGAATATTGGCTATCTGGTGCCCACAGAGAACCAGTGAGTGCTTATCAGGGCAAGGTAGGCAATACTTACAGTCTTTTTGCAATGGTGTTGAAAAAGTTTCTGTCCTCATCCCTTTTGAAGTCTGGCTGACTGTGTGGGGGAGGGCTGCTTTCCTAAATAATTCAATGTGAGTGAGGTTGCACGAGTCCTTGCCTTCTTGTGGACCTTTTCTCTGTTCCAGAACCGCAGGTATTTCCACGTGTTGTTGCTCGGCACTCCAAGTGCTCAGTGTCTGCAAAAGGCCTCACGTACAAATCTTCATAGGTCCCATAAAACGTCATCCAAGTGCACGCAGAAACTCTTCTGTCTTTCAGAACATTGCAGCTCTAGCAGAAGCAGGGTGCTTGGACTTCAGAACATTCTGCACGTCATGTCTTGTAAGTAAGGTTTTGATATTCCTTTGCTTTTTTGAAACCTATTTTTCAGTCAGTAGTAGTTCAGTACAATACCTGTTTTTCTCCTTGTCATGCGAGTGCTCCATACGCTGCTTGTTCTGGGCTAGATTTCATTTTCTCACTTCTGGTGACAAAGCAGTTTTCAGATCGTTGGGTTTCATTCTTAATTAAAAAAAAAAAAAATTCCATCTTTTTTTCTTTTGTAAGATTTAGAAAATTTGTCATCTGTGTTCTGTTTTGGAGGCCCACTATATACTAATAGTTATAAAATATGCTAGTGCCCATGAGGTGATGCTCTGAGCTTTGGTCAAAGCAGCTGCTTTTACTCTGACTGTATTCCTTTCCTTTGTGCTCAAACAGGTAAGGAAGCCCTTGAGATCTGTGCACTGCGTTCCTTGTGATTCATGTGTAGCCAGATATGATCAGCATTCTCTGTGGATTGCACAATGCACAGGTAAGAGTCTTTGCTTTATCAAAGCTGAAAATTTCATGCCTTAAGAGGTGTTGCAGAAATAACATTTATCTACTTAAAGAGCAAACCTGATGCAAGAGCACACTGTAGAGACTGCAGGCGTTACTGAGAGTTGCCCGAGAGTCTTATCTGATAGAAATCTTTTCTGTCGCCCTCCTTCCCTTGCCCGTCTCCCACATCAGGATTTATAATAAACTGGTCGGACCAACATTTGAACTGCTGTTTCTTAATCTTATGCCAGGTACACAGATATGAAAAAGAACCTCCTCTCCCTCCTATGGAGCGAGACCCCCCTGACGGAACAAACATTTCTGTGCTCCCACACGGCCCTGCTGATCAGTGGGTCTGACCAGGACTGGTTCCCATCGCTTACTAACTTATTGCCCTTAATGGCCAGGTACACTTAGAGAGGACTCTCCCACAGACTCTTCAGATGCTGTTAGCTTTGCTGAATGCAAGAGGCAAGCACTGATCATTAATACAAATAATATTTGAGATCTGCAGAACTAGGAAGGAAACACAGGAGTTGACAGAGGTGTTAGGGTATCCCTCATAAACCAGTATGTCTCCAAAGCTTGATTTCTGCTGTTAGGCAGTTATACCTTTAGCCTGCATCAGGAACGTATGAGAATGTGAGCGCCAGCCTAGTATACTGATATACAATTAAGCAGCAGATCAGAGGGTAGTCCTGATGGAGCTTTTCTGCATACAAATGCCTGCTAACACCTAGAGAGGGGCTGTGGCTCACGGCATCGTGCCGCAGGTTTTCCTTCACGAAGAGAACTGTTGTCTGTGCTGTAAGCCACATTACTGCTCTCTCCTGGATGAGACTTGCTCATCTAGAAGCTACGTGCAGGGGCTACCACTATCCACAGCCCTTAACGCACGAACCAGAAGGATACATTCATCAGAACAGGTACTGATCAAGGTAGAAGTCTCCATCGCTTTTTTCTAACTGTGATTTATCACTTTGCTGCTCTTCAGGTGGGTAAAGAGCTGGAAATGTTTTCAATGAATTTCAAGGGAAGGTTAGAAATGTTACTAAACGTGAATTGTTTCTGGCCAAGAATGCCAAGAACCTTTCAGATGCAAAAGGACATAAAAGGAAGAACGCTATTCATATGTACGATGACACAAATCTGACCAACAAATGCCAGGAAAGGCTGCTATGTGAGCCCAGCCTGAGCAGTCACATTAACTGACAGATGTGTATAGAATGCGTGTTAATGGTTCAGGCCTGGTTCAGTCTGGATCTGTGACTGATGGTGCAGGGGGACCCACGGAGCCATGGCCTGGGATGGGCCTAAAAACAACACAGCAGCAATGAGGTGGGGGGGAAGGGGGGGGGGGGATGAGGGGGGGTCATTATTTTTACATCCCTTAAACTTGAATGTAAACAGTGAATACCACAAAGTCAGATTTTACAGATGGTATGTGACCAGCACAGGAGTTGAGCTTGATGATAATTGATTAAATTTAAATTAAAAAAGGATAATCAATTGCGTTTGGTTGACACAAGTACACATAACACACTGTTCCAACAAACTACAGTTTCATATCAGAGCTTATATAACCTCTTTGCGTGACCCCTCCCGCTGCAATATCAGACCTCTGTTTGGTTTCCAGCTGTTGAAATGTAAGCCTGCTAAATATCACTTGGAAATCAGCTAAAGGTGCCAGCACTGCAGCTTGAGGGCTGTAGCTGGCCCATACCTGGGCTGCTGGAGTACTGCGCGAGCTCTGATTTCTGCTTGCTTGCTTTGCTTTCTTTCATGAATACAAACCAGTCCCAAGAGTTCAGCTTCTCCCTGAGTTGCTGTAAATCCAGAATATGGCAGAGCTGGCTGAATGTGGCATATTGCTAACGGTCTCATTAACGTCTAGCAGAGCAGTGTAACGTACCTTACTCTAACATATAAAGTATTATTTTTCATAGAGAAAGGTGACTTGCCTCTGTTAGGACTGGGACAGATATGTATTATTGGAGCTGACAGAAAAAGAGTTAAATTTTGAAGAGAAAGGAAAACCGAAAGACGTTAACATGTTCAAGCTGAACTAGTGCTTGGGTCCACGCGAAGCAGTTCGGTTGACGGGACGGGACGGGACGGGTGGAAAAGCCCGTTCAGCAGCTCCTAGGAAACCCGGCAGGGCGCCGCCTGGGGCGATGGCGGAGCCGCTCCGTGCCGGCGCCGGGAGGCTGCGGTGCCGGGACGGCTCCACCACAGCTCCGCGACCGCCAAGCCCCGAGCTGCTCACGGCGCGCTGCTGCCGAGAGCGCTTTGAAACGGCTGGGGGACGCCTGCCAGCCCACGGCGGCGACGAGCTGATTGGACGCTCGCCCGACATCCGCGCGTCCCGTACTCTTCGAGCGCATGCGTGCGGCCGTCTGGAGGACTTCTGGCAATAAAGATTGGCGGATTCGCTGCGCAGAGCGGTCACAACACGGAGGCGCCACTTCCGCATCTAGGCGCGCATGCGTCGTGCTGCCCGCGGCTCCAAAGAAAGAACACGGCCGCAGTTCCGCCGACTGACCACGAGGGGGCAGCACCCCCTCGAGACCGTCGAGACCGAGCAACAGCCGCTCCGACGGCATTGACGAAGAGCCGCCCCGCAATCCGCGGCGGTCCGTTCTGTCTTCCTTTTGACGGCAGAGGAAAAACGCAGCCAGAAGAGGAACGGGGGGAGGGTCGGAAGGGGGAGAGGACGAAGAAAACCAAGGAAAACTTCGACAAACCCACCAAACCGGTGCTAAGTGCTTATGAATACCTGTACATAGATAAATAAATAAATAACCAGCAAACTGATGTTGTCGTGCTTTTTAAAAATCATTTGGTTTTTTTTCAGTCAGCATCCGAGGTGGTACCAATGGTACCAACTGGTACCAATGGGACAGATGCACGCAGTGAAGCCAAGGATGGCTTGCAACAATTAACAGAGCACTGCAAAACAGCTGAGCAACGCTTAGAGGAAACATAGAAGGAACAGCTTCCGTGCCTGGCCTCACCACTCCGAGATTCCGTCCGGGTCACGCAGGGCTCATAAATATCCACTGGATCGGTTTGGATATCGAGCGATTTGTTGTCCGTTCTTTCACTCACAACCAGTGCCAGGATGTGCCGCAGGCTGTTCTGACCACGGGCACCACGGTTGAACCATTTTAATAACAGAGGGATTCCCAGGCACAGTTTCAAGGATTTGGTCTGTTTTTGACCCAAAGGAAGAATGGATATGAAACATGAGGTATGCATAAGTCATAGTCAGGCATGCTTCTCAGCATCACCTTTGGGAAACAGATAATGCATTTCTAATAAAAGATCTTGTAATAGCAGAAACATACAACGCTATGTAGGAATAATAGGAGAACACTTTGCAAGTAGGCAAGGAAATTTATGACCTCCATCTGGGAAAACCAGCACCGTTTGCCTGCACACACCTCTTTGGCACACTGTCCAGCTGTCACACTTTTGGCTCATGTCCCGCTTCTCGTCCACCAGGCCCCCCATGTCCTTCTCCGCAGGGCTGCTCTCAAGGAGATCTTCCCCCAGTTTGTACCAATACCTGGGATTGCCCCAACCCAAGTGCAGCACCCTGCACTTGGCTTCTTGAGCCGTATCAGGTTTTCAGGGCCCCACTTCTCCAGCCTGTCCAGGTCCCTCTGGATGGCTTCCCTTCCTTCCAGTGTATCGGCTGCACCACTCAGCTCGGTGCCATCTGCAGACTTGCTGAGGGTGCACTCGATGCCCTCGTCTGTGTCGTCGATGAAGATGCTGAAGAGCACCGGTCCCACGACCGACCCCTGAGGGACACCGTTTGTGACAGGCCTCCACCCTGACGCAGAACCATTGATCACAACCCTTTGCCTGTGTCCGGCCAGACAATTCCTAATGCATCGAACAGTGCCTCCTTCCCATCCACACCTCTCCAAAGTAGAGAAGGATGTGATGAGGGACCATGTCAAGGGCCTTGCAGAAGTCCGGTAGTAGTCCATCCACCGCCCCTCCCCGTCCACCAAAGCCGTCACTCCATCACAGAAGGCCACCAGATTGCTCGGCCACGATCTGGCCTTGGTGAAGCCATGCTGGCTGTCTCGAATCACCTCGAATCTATCTCGTATGTGCCTTAACACAGCCTTCAGAAGGATGTGCTCCATGATCTGCCCAGGCACAGACGAGAGGCAAAACCTTTCCTGGAGAACCAGGCTGATCGAGTCCACGCTCATCGGCATCTCCCACAGGCCCTGTTCCAGCTCTCACTGTCGTTCTGGCCCTCCCATGACCTGGCGTCCCTCTGTCAATGTCTCACCAGCTGTGTTACCAGAAGAGACTAGAGAACGCTAGAGAATGAAGAACTCACATCTGACTCCAAGGAATGTAACCCTCCTCTCTCCCACAGATCCCCACTCTCAGAGTGACGTCTCACTGGACAGGAGTGTTCCTCACAGCCAGTCAGAAAAGCAAGCAGAGCCTGAGACCAAGGAGTCCCTCTCTGATGTGCAGCTCTCGGGCAGCTTCCCTTGCACAAAGCGCTGGCCCCAGCCGCATGCATTGTCGCACGCACTCGTGTGGGCAGTTGGTGTCTAGACGTGAAGGAGACTTGTTAAGCGCTCTGCTGACCCGTAGGGATGGATGGGAAACTACAAGGGGGGGCTTCAGCGTGTGTATGAAGGATGGAAGGACCTGCAGTTAAGGGTTTGGATTTGCGTCTGAGTCCGTGCCTTCAGACGCTGCAAGCGCTATGCCTTGTCACCCAAGGGAAACGGTCAAACAGCTGCTTTGGGACAGAATGTCTGTGGTGCTCAGAAAGTGTGGCCTTCCAAGGTACTTCAGGCGCCCCAAAGAACAGAAGCAAGCAGTGACGATTCCTTTCTCTCTCCATTCTAATAGCTGTAGGTAGCGCGCTGGAGAGAGGCTTTGGAGGCTTTCCTCAGCCTCCTCCTTTCCTCGTACCTTGACAAAAGCGGACTGCCAGAGAACAAGATGACCTTACACACTTTTTTGGGGTTTGGTTGTTTTGTATTTTTTTTATTGTAATTTTTTTTGTTTGTGTGTGTGTGTGTGTGTGTGTGTGTTTTAGTCCAGTCCAGTGTAGTAAATTCTCTGTCATACAACTGATGAATGTTCAAGGTCCTGCTGCTAATGGACCATGCTCCACTTGAACATCAAGTGGAGCAGGAGGCAGTCTTCATCCAGAAAAGTGGAATTTTGATGGGATGTTGCTGTCTTGTGGAGAGGAATCTGCGTCCCCCAGGCTCAGCCAGCAGGCAGACACAGGTTTCTGGATGGTGACCATCACTCTCTGCCACCGCTCCTGCTGCCTAGTCTCTCTTCATCATCGGTATCCAGCAGGAGATCACGAAGCTCTGGAGGCATGGTTGTATCCAGGTCATCATCTGAAACTTCTTCCACCAGATTGGAAGGGACCAGTCCTCTTGTACCATCCGTCAGCTCTCCCAGAAACCAGCCATCCTCATCCACGTCTCCAAAGATGTAAACGTACTGTCCAGCAGTCAGGGGAAGCTCGTTTTCTGGGTCCTCATTAGGGCCCTCCAAAGGATTGTAGCTGTGACGAGCTAAGAACCTTCGAATTAGCGGTGATGTTCGTCCGCGAGAATGCAGGCTGCAGACTGCCATCAGCCGCCTTTCTGACTCCTCCAACTCTTCCTGTGGGTTGGAGCATTCCTGTTTGGGATTTCTGTGTGGCCTCTGCTTTTGCACAATCTCCTGGAGCTGCGTGCATTTCTCCTCCAGGCAATTGCTGAGCACTTTAAGTTTGGCTGCAGCCTGCTGGAGCCTCTGCTGTTCCTCGCACGCTTCTGGAGAGCGTCCCTCTCTCAGCAGGTGGTTCTCAGCCGGCAGGGCCTGGCACTGCCTCTCCAGGTTGCTCAGGGCTCGTTGCAGCAGCAGAGCTCGCTGCTTGTGCTGCCTGGGAGCCCCAGGTCTTCCTTGGCCATCTCTGGCACCTAGAACCAGAAAATCATAGAATAACAGAATGGTTTGGGTAGGAAGGGGCCTTCAGGACTCTCCCGTTCCAAGCCCATGCCGTGGGCAGAGACATCTTCCACTAGGTCAGGTTGTCCAAAGGTGCCTCCAGCCTGACCTGGAGCGCTGCCAGGGGTGGATGAGGCATCCACAGCCTCTCTGGGCAGCCTGTATCACTGCCTCAGCACCCTCACAGTGCTGAGTCTTTCCTCCTCCTATATCATCCAGATCTGCCCTCTTCTACTTTCAAGGCACTGTCTTTTGTTGTATCACTACTACCCTCCCTTACTACAAGTCCCTCTCCAGCTTTCCCCAGTCCTCCTTCAGGCACTGGAAGGACCCTCTGTGGTGTCCCCGCAGCCTCTTCTCCCCCCGGGCTGAACAACCCCCACTCTCTCAGAGTCATCTCACCTGGATGTGAGTGTCCTTCACAGGCAGTTGACTGGAGCCCTGCTCTGCACGGTGGTGGCCCACCTCTCTGTCCTGGGAGCAGTTCGTTCTGTGGCTTTCCACGTGCTGGGGCTCACCTTCCCAGCTCCCCAGGATGTATTGCTCGAACAGCCTCCTCTCCAGCTCCAGCTGATGCTGGAGTTGGCGGATACGGGCGGGCTGCTCACTGTCCATCGCCCAGGCCAGCTTGCTGAGGATGTCCGACAGCATGGTGCAGGCCACCCTGCTGTTCTTATGGGGGCTCCTCAGCACCCCAGCCAGCAGCTGCTGCAGCTTGCGAGCCACGTGCTGGGCCACATCGCACTCCCGCTCCAGCAGCTCCTGCGTTGCGTGCAGCTCGGCCTCCTTCCAGCGCAGCAGCTGCTGAGTCTCTGTCGCCCGCTGCCGCTGCTCCCACTCCTTCAGCTGCTGCTCCTCCTGGGCCTGCTGCTTCTCCCAGGCACAATGCAGTCGGTCGGCCAGGAGCTGCCGCTCCCGCTGTGCCGCCTCCTGCAGCTCACGTCGCTCTGCGGCCCAGAGGCGCTGCAGCTCCTGGCAGTGGAGCTGCTCGCCCTCCAGCTGGGCCCGCAGCGCCTCCAGCTCCATGTGCTCAGGTGGGCAGGCCTCTTGTTGCTCTGCAGCCTGAACACCCACCTCTGCTGCAGCCTGATGGCAGGCCAGCCTTTGCTAGGTGCACGGCCCAACGGCTGCAGCCCTGGGCCTGGTGCAGAAGGTGGGCAGCTGCCCCTCACCGTGCTCCAGGATGTAATGCAGGAAGCGTCTCCTCTGCTCCTGCAGTTCACGCTCCAGGCGCAGGACGTGGGTGGCCTGCTCTCCACAGGACTTTCTGCAGAGCTGCCGCTGGACTTCCTGCTGCAATTGGTGGCTGCTGCAGTTGACACTCGGCAGCACCTTCGCCAGCTGCCGCAGCAGATCCTGTGCCTGGCGGACGGTGTTGTTGCGCCGCTGCTGGAGCTGCTGCTGCATCTGGGCCTCCTTTGCCTGCATAATGACACTCTGTATTTGGGTGTTTTACTTGTGACAAAACAGAAATTTTAATGCTTCTAAGAATATTTTAGAGGTTGAAACAGATTTGTGAGATATATGAGCAGGGAAGTGTTTAAGAACAGGTAAGCACAAAGCCATAAGTAAAAGCCTGTTTGCCTTACGTTTTGCTTGTGCGTATGCCCTGTTAGCTTCTGGAAATTGATAAGGAGATGATAGAAAGTATTAGCATGTATGGAAAAGACAACTATTCTCCCCGGCATGCACAGATCTATAACAGCTGCCACATCAGTCATGTTCACAAGATGCAAAGGCTGCAGCATCGTTTCAGCGTGGCAGGCTGGGCAGTGTGTTGGGAGTCAAAATACTTCATAATAAAAACTGGCAGGGAAGCAGATTGAGATCAGAAAACCAAAGTTCAATGCTGTCTAGAACTGACAGTGCAGAATAAAGCAGTGTAATGAGACAGAGTTCTTGCAGGTAAGGAATGGGAGGTATCATCTTCCCCCTGAAATGCAGTAGTTGTGGCACCGTGGGACTTAAAGCACAAGCAAATTGAAGTAAACAAAAATGTGAAGCAATATGAGTGCTTTATTTAGCTTGAAAAATGTACAATAACAAAACCGAAACACTGTATTCTAAGAAAACTTGCTTTTTCTTCAGAAGGCTGTGAACTTCAAGTTCTTCTAAACTATGTGTCCAAGTGAATGATGTCTACTCTGCATTAGTCGAAATAACATTGAAATCTTCAAAACGCTAGGAGGAGACTGGCCTAGATCAGTAGATTCTGACCCTTGTGCTTCATAGGGTATGTCTGAATGGGACAGTGTGCTGACTCCTTAAGTTCTGAGTCTGAACTGTGGTAAATACTAGTGTAAGGAGCAACAGTGTTTCATGAACAGAAGTTCTTGTCACTATTCACTTTTATGGTAAACGTGAATCTGATTTGATCAGTGTACCTTTTTTAAGCTGTTCTAAGAATTTGTTAAGGTACAAGCTTGTGAGATTTTCCTGCATGATGGAAATTACTTAATGAATGTCCTAGGTTATAAGCAGTAGGCGATGATTTTGTTTTACTTGACACCTATTTTCTGCTGAGATCAGCAGCAGGTTGACTCTGTTGCATCCACTCCTTTTCACTCACATTCTTTCTTTTCCACTTGAGTGAGGCCACCAAAACCAATTCCTTTGGGACCAAAATTCTTTGCGTAGCAAACTGCAAAAGAAAGAAAAGGGTCAAGAGTGTTCTGAATGCTTGCCCAAGTGGCTTTTGGATTTGGTACTCATTCCAAAGGTAAGTTAGTACAAAGAAGGAAATCTGAGGTGGTCTTTCTCAAAAGTGTCAAGAAATTCTAGTAATGAAAAATATTTGAATTAAACGTGTTGCATCTGAGTTTCTGAAAAAGAAGTTGGAAAAGTATGTATTTAAAATTTGAATAACAATTTATTTAAATATGGTCTTCTGTCCATGCAGACTGAGCATCAGAGATGTTCAAAGGAGGTTAGAAGAACAAGAGTGTGGAGCAGGTGACTTTCTATGATTGCTTGGGCAATCCAGTGTGACTCTATTGCCAAGTATGCTCATACTTATTTATCACAACTTCCCTATATTAGTAGCGGTCAGCGTATTTCTCCAAATACATTTGTTTGATCTCTTGCTGTTGTCAAATTGTGCCCAATTTCAGTATTCTCTAGGATTCTCAGTAGTTCAGCCTAGGATATAAAAACTTAGCATATCTCCTGGAGCTCTTTCCAAGAAATCTGCAAGATTTGTTGATCTGAGGAGAATATCTGTGTAATTCAGCATGAATGCGTTCATCTTCTGTGTTATTAAAGTATAGGGGAAGCATCACTTTTGAAGTCTTAGTGGCAGGAAAACCAACTAGGACCATGATCTTTAAAGATCTGTCTGTATCTTTGTTATTAAGCATGCAGCAAGGCAAATCACGATGGTAATATGGGTCTACAAGGAACAATTCTTACCTTTACAGTAGAGCTCTCCGTCTTTGTCTGTAACATTTGTAGACTCTAAACTCTTTCCACAAATAGCACAGCGGAAGCATGTTTTATGCCAAGGCTGAGGGAATGAAGACAATTTGTTGTTATGCTACAGAAGATGCACAGCTAGCAGATGCAAGAAACAGCTGTTGCTTTTTGTTGCATGAAGAGGTTAAAATTGTCTTCTTGGGTTTATGACTTACAATTTTAGTACTTTTAGATTAGTTTTTCAAATTATTATCCCACTTTAATATCTTACCTAGTGAGCTTCTTGTTGATGGAGGTCTGGTAAAAATCAGAGGGCTATAGATAGTGCTCTCATTGGCCACATCCTTTGTGCATGGAGATAATGAGTGAGAGTTCCTAGAGCAGAGGGTCAGCATATATCGCACAGTGCTGGTTTTTTCTAGTCATGGAATCTCTTTAATTAATTTGTAGTGGCAAATGCAGGTATATATTTGAATTATAACTATCCCAAGAGGTGTGAGTAGGATGACAGTGGAAGCTGAAAGGGAAGGGTTGTCCCTCAGACCTTGACAAGATGCAGAATGTTGAAGAAGGCTTGTGGCAAAGCATAACTTCAACTTGAAATCAAGTCAGTATGTTAGACATTTTGCTTATTCAACCCTATATTTTCTTTATCAACACCAGGTAAAAATCTTCAAGGATTGATTAGCTCTAGCTAATCACCATGAAAAAAAATTTGGTTGTTTTTTTTTTCCTAGTGCTTTAGTAACTACTTACTTTTCCTCCTCCCATTATCTTCTCTGCAGCATACACCGATTTGCCGCACCGGGGGCATTTATCCACATCGACGATCTTTTTGGCAAACTTTGAAGGATTAGTTGGTGTAGAAGGGCGAGCAGACTTTGGTGAGCCTCTAAAACGGAAGTTTTCTGTGTTATAAAACATTGCTCAAAATGTTATCTTCACTCTAGAAATTTGATTTTTGTGGTTGTTGTTTCATTTTTTGTTTTGTTTTGTAAGGGGTAGAAACATTCTTACTGGTTAAGGGCATGGAATCATTAAGGTTGGAAAAGACCGCTAAGATTATCAAGTCCAGCGTGGAAAGGAAGGGTCACAGAATCAGAAAATCATGTTGGTTCAAAAAGACCTTCTGTTATATTGCACTCCGTGTTACATAGTTAAAAAATGAATGCTGCACCCGCTGTTATTGCCCATTTTGGACTCAGCGCATGAAGCTGACAACTGCTATCATGAAAAGTGAATTCTGTTCTATTGAGAGGCCAATGAGGAAAAACAAGCAGAGGACCTCCACTCTTGCTGCTAGTATCAGTATAGAAGAGATCTTGAAAGAGGAAGGGAGGGGAAAAAAACTCTAGATTTTGCATGTGGTTGTGTTTTTTTGTTTGTTTGTTTGTTTTTTTCTGTTGCTGCAAGATTTTGACAGGGCTCGTAGCTGTTCTGAAGTCAAAAGCATCAGACAATTGGCTTTGTTTTGTATTTCTGGACCCTGTGGCTTATGTCTTTGTGCTGGCTTAGTCATTCACAGAACTACTTTAGAATTACCAGACCAGTGGACTGCAACAGGTCATTAAGTCACCAGGATGTGACAGCTCTCGATACAGAACTCTGCCCACAGTGGGTGTGTATTTTACAAGGGGTACAATTCAATACAGCAGTTCAGATTTTATTTCCTGCACAGCACATTTGCTAATTGTGATACCAGCATGTATCATTGCAGTGATACCAGCAGAAAATGTTGGCTTTGAAATGTACAGATTTGAGAATAGAAAAATACTACAAAAATGTACTGTCAGGTGTAATTACATGCAGCTGAAGCTGTTTGAAGATGGTATCTCAAGGGAATGCCTTTGTTCAGTCATGTTCTCCATGCATTTGTAAGAGTTGTACAAGCCACAGGGAGGGTTTAGAAACATTATTTCTCTGTTGAGAGGAGGGTTAACGGTGTGTGGTGTTGTTGTTGTTCTTTCTCTAATGGTAAAACCTAGCTGTATCTTAATTCTGATGGAGTGAAGAACATCCTTGTGTTCGGTGGTGAATGTGGTTTTACCACTGTGTACCAGCACAGTGGCAAATCACAACTGAAAACTGGTAAATTACCATGTCCACCAAGGAAAGGTTGTGGGAGATTCTGCTCTGCTACTTGTGCTACATGTTGGTGGGAGAGCAGAGCAGAACACCTGAAATAGCCCTGAGTGACAGGTAGCATCAGACAGCCACATGGTGCTGCTGGTAGGGTTGGACTCACTGTTGCAGGTTTAGGCCCAGATGGTCCCCGGTGTCAGTGCTGAGACATCCAGCTCCTTGCCCAAAGCCAACACCTTTGGGGCCGTATTTTCTCCCATAGCAAGTTTTGCAGTAGATTTCAGATTCGTGAGCTGCCACTGTGGTGCTGTCCAGAGCCTTCCTGCAAGCCACTATGGAAAGGAAGAGGGGCGTGATGAAACATCTGCATATTCCAATATGAATGAATGTGGGTCAGAATAATTACAGTTGTTGCTGATTTTTGTTTATCTTCAAAACTGTAGGAGAGGAAGGAACGTTAGTGCACTGTCTGCAGCAACCCAGTGAAGTTTTATGTGGAGGTCAGTCAGAATCAAGCAGGGCACTCTTTATTTATGTAGTTGCATTTCTTTGGGCTGTAGTGCCATGGGGAAAAGCGACCCCAAACACCTGATGGTTTCAGCTCCATTAGATGTCCAGAATGACAAGGTTCTGGTGTTGGAAATTCTGAGACCACAAGGAATGCCCTCTTCGTTGTTCTTGTTGCGGAGAAATGCTTCGTGGCTTACCTCACCAGAAAAGGTCCTGAGGACCTGGGGACAGAACGTGCCGTGGCAGTGCCATGCACTTAGTGGAGTACAAGTTGTACCCTCTGTGTCACTGCTTTAAATCTAGCCTCTGCTTGAATGGACCTAAAGTCCTGGAATGCTAGCAGCTGCTTGCCTGGGATCTTGGTAGGCATGTGTCCTTTATCTGAGAGGCACAGATGGCACTTGAAGCCAACAGACATTGCTAAGGCCACTCTCGTGTCCTCTGATTCTCCTCAGACGGGCATGGAAGGCAGGTTAGTCTCTAAGTTCTCTCGGGCGCTTTGCAGATCTGAAACCTGATCAGCCTTCAATGAGTGGAATTCTGTTACCAGCAAGTGCATCTCATTGCTGCTTACGCCTGGAAACCGAGATGATAACAAATGGGAAAAAACAATAGTGACACTCTTCATGTGTTTGGTGGCTGCATACACTGCGCTGTTTTGGGAGCTGAGTACGTGGCAGCCCCCACCCCATCAAGAGAGATGAGGCTTTCAGTGACCAGTGCCTACAGAAAGTCAGGGTTCTGTAGCATGCTCTAAAAAAGTAGCACTGTTTACAAATCAGTCACTGCATCAACAGTGATCGGTAGGGATGGGAGGGGGATGGTAAAAGGGAAAGTGTTCTCCTATTCTTTGAATAAGCATGTGTGCCACTGAGGGGTGCTGATAGCTTGGGAAATAAATTGTGAGAGTGATGTAACACCAACCTGTGAAATGCACAACTACGGAAAACAGTTGGAAGTTCACTCAAGTCAGAATTTAAGGATCTAAGGCAATATTGGAACCAGTGCAGCTTTACTTCTATCACAGTACTGTGTAGAGGGGAATGCAATTTGCATGGAGCTCTTTAATTAAAAGGAATAAAATGAGGGGCTTCTGTAAATGTGCAAACTCGATCACTTTGTGGTGCTGTCTCTTCAGCTTTGAGATGATAATTATGTTTGCTGAGGGAGTTAGGGGATGATGGAAACTCTAGCAGTAAAGTGTTTCTATTCCTGTCACTGTAGGGGTAGAGTATCAATTCACCACAACAGATGGAGCAAAAGCCCTTGAAGTGCTATTGTTGAAATAGCTTTGGGACCTGTCACCTGCCAGCAGATAGCAGACACTGAGGGGTTTCAGGTTTGTGGCATGAAATCCTGCCAAATGTCCATCACCGCTGCGCTGTAAGCAAAACCTGACAGGGAAACAAGGTGGGCAAACTGCAGGCTGTATGGGAACTAAGGTTGACTGGAAAGAAGCTCTTTACACGTCTGTGAGGTGAAGTTAGGGACATGATTGTATCATTCAGCTCGTCAGTTTCTTGCTGTGCCAACAGGTTTTCTTGAAAAAGCTGTTTGTTTTAGTGGGTCAAATACAATATAATCTCAATTAAATTGATTTTGGTTTTGTACCTGAGATCAGGTGTAGAGAATATCAATTTTTTGTGTGTGCTGAGAAATAAAATCCCGTAATTGACTCACTAAAAAGCCCATGAACATGGTATGTGATGCTGAAGGATCCAGTCCAAAGCTGGTGGCTAGTGTTTATGAATCAAGGAAAAAGAAAGCCAATTAACATACCTGTTACCACCCATGCTTTGCTGCATCCTTCATTTTTTGACCTAAAATTCTGCTGGGATTACTTTTTTTTTAAGTATCTGACCTTTTGATGAGTTAGTTCACACTCAGGGGTCCAATGGGGAAAAAAACAAAAGCAGTAGACCTAATGAGTGTGTGGTATTTATCACAAGCCATTTAGAAAAGATCATTTATATCATAAAGGAAGCTTAAACTTGTTCCAGTATTAGGTGCCTGAGAATTTATATGGGAGGGAAATATCATTAACTATGACCCAACAGAACAGCTGTTTATTTTTATTGGACAAGAGTCCACTCATTTGACTTTTCCTTTCATATACCTTAGTGTCACTGAATAAAGCATGTGTCAATTCAAGATTTTCTAATAATTAGCATGTTTGCATTCAGAGTGTCTGCAAAGCATTTAGCTATCTTTAGTCCTCAGCAAATTGTTTATTCTCTTCACTGAAGATGAGTGGGGTTGAACTGATGGTGCCTTCTTGCTTATTTTTCTAGTGCAAGCTCATCCACAGAGAAAGATGCCTGCCCAACATCAGAGGTGTGTGGGGAAGAGTAAGTGAAATGGGAATATCTGGAATGTGGGTTGGAGGTACTTGCAGATGGTGGTGAGAGATAGTGTTGATAGAGAGAACTTTTCTGTGTGAAATGATATTTTGGGGGATGATCCATAAAAGTAATGTCCCCTAATAAGACTGACTTCTGTCTCAAGAGCGCTGGTTAAGTTCTTGAAGGCTTTTTGGTTTGAAACTTGTAGCGTGCTACCTCATGGGACAAAAGGTAGCACTCTGGTGTCCCTAACAAAAAACATCTAGTGTGTGCTTCACAAAGGAGAAGCCAGGATCCTGAGAGAGATGTGGCTCAGGGGGAAAGGGTTATTGAGAACTGATGAGGAGTGGCAGACTGGCCTTTCAGAAAACTGGATGATGCTATCGAGAAGTTATGGTTGTTTTATGTCCTTCAGTTCTTAAGGAATGTGACACAGGTTTTTTTCTTTAGCAAGTGTTGCCTCTGAGGTTCAACCAGTTATCCTTACAGATGAGGAGCCCTCGAAACTGACTTGCTAGAGTCAGTTTTAATTAAAACACTGCAGCTGAACAAACTTAGTTAAGTCTTGGCTCCCTCCCTTTGTCCCCTCCCTGTGTCAAAGGCAGTACCATAAACATAGCAGTGTATGGTACGAGTATTTTCTCTGGCCAAATAGGATCTCTAAGGTTCCTAGAGAGTGTCAGCCCAGAGTCAGTCTCACTGTGCTGTTCTCCAGGAAGGATGGTTAGTGCGTGCCTGCTCTCTGCTTTGAGCTTTCTCAGTGGTAAGATGCATGAACCTCACAAATCTTCCCTCTCTGAAGTTTGCTCTGATGCTGGTTGTTTCTACCATCCTTTACACTGCTTGGGCTGTCTTAAGACCTGCTCTAAATGTACAATGAGCAAACAGGTTGAACAAGTGTGAGCATCTTCATTGCGAATCTTCTTGGATGCAAGGAGTACCAAAGGAAGTATACTAGCTGTAGTGGAAATAGCTGAATTACATGGCTTTAACTTTGCACTTACTGCAGAGGAAGCACGTCTTGTGAAAACTCCTTCCATTGCACTGAATTTCCTCAGCATGGTACACTGTCTTTTCACAGGCACCACATTTGGCTCCACCTCCCCAGTTAGGCATCCTGGTATGTGAAGATTTATGGTCTATGGTACCTAGAAAATCAAACTCAGTGAGTAAATCCAGTAGAAAAAGTGATATTTGTTTACTTATTTCCCGTGAACTGCTATTGCCAGGTAACCCCTAGCTAGGATCTGCTCATGTGAATTGTACCATGATACTTGCAGACTGTCATTGAGCATTCTCAGTGATGTGTATAATGGCAATTTTCTCTGTCAGTGTGAGTCAATTTGCGCACACCGTCCAGTTAATATCTGAACCAATTCCACCATGAAGCTGAACAACACGACATTATTACTGAGGACACTGTGATAGAACCAAGTTGGTCAGTGAGCTTCAAGACTTCTGATGCACAGCTGTCATAAAGTAGTGACTGGGGCCTTCATTTGTCATTTGTTAGAAATCTAAACGTCTGAGAGAAAGAGAGTTGTGCTTCCTATTCCAGTGGCTATGGGAGTGATTTGCCCAAGGTCATGTGTCTCCGAGCACAGTGTCAGAGCCAGGAGCTGAGCGTAGGTCACCAGACTGTGCTCAGTAAGTGCCCCTGATGATTGTGCTATCATGCAGCTGGAGTAGCTACAATCTACGGTTTGCCCTTCTGTTTTCTTATTTGAGTCACTGTTTCTGGAAAGTCTGGGACGTCATCTGGTCATCTGCACGTCCTGTTATCAGGCTGTTGAAGCTCCTGGCTCGAGCCACCTCTGTCCTTCTTGGAAAACCAGTCACTTTCTTATTATAGGTCTTTCAAAGTCTGCTGGTCCCATTTGGATTTGATTAAACCTACCACTGGATGTTCTTAATTAAGAAAAGGATTTTGAATGCTGAATCAAGCCTTCCTGGGATGTGGTGTAAAAGAGTGGAGTGTGTCATGGTAGTAATGTAATGTAAAGCAGTTACTGAAAACAGCTTGAGTTTTACCCACGGTCTTACTGTGTACACAGGACACCGATGTCCTGTCTGTCATGATCTTGGTGACTTCTGTGCTGCATCTGCTGATTTTCAGAAAGAAACATTTTCTGTCTGCCAGCTCCACAAGCTTAACCTCGAGCTAGTTCTGGCTACTAACCCAACTGATTGTGCAATTGCAGCAAAAGGCATCACTATCCAACAGAAGGAAGGCAGGACTATGGCCCAGCAAGGTGGGCACATCTGCACTGTTATCAAACACTGATGGTCAAGATACGAGCATCTCCAAGTATATCCTCCTTGGCATTCTGGTTATTAGTGCAGCCTCACCCTGTTACCTGTGGTAGGCAGCACAGTGTCATTGTGCCACAAGGTGCAGCCTCTCATTTTTGTGATGGAACCATTTCAGCTCAATCTGACCTTAGCTGCTGTAGAACAGCCATGCCATTAAGCTGTTTCAGACTATCAGTCAGTTCCCTTGCTGCTCTTACAGCTATGAAGCACTAGTGATGCATGGGAGAGAAAACCCCAGCTTGCCTTGAGCTGTGCTTATCTGCAGTGTAACAAGTCAGAAGCAGAAATGTGATGTAGCTGAGGTAACTGTACGGGAGGAATGGATTACAAATTTGTTTTCTTCTTCCTCAGGAATGTTTTTGTGAAATAGCACTGTCGAAGTCTTTTTCCCATTTCTTTTAAATGGGGGGGGTGGAAAGGAACAGCGATAAATGACAAAAGAATCCTTGTTGGAAACTAATTCTCACTGCATCATTTAGGAGGAAAAAGAAGTAGCCTTGGAAAGGCTGATAGCGCTTGATAGTGAGCCTTGTGCTGTTGTGGGCTGTGGTTAGACCTCTCAGAAGAACAACTGCTCCTCAGCTAATTATAGTAACATGACAGGGCATGCACACACATTTTCCATCCTGCTTTGGCATCACCTGATGGGAAGCCATAGGAGGAAGAAGTCACAGTAAAACCTTTCTGTGAGCATTCTGGGATGTGTGCTGCAGCTCTCCTAGTGTGAGATGTTTGGCCTGAATCAATTATAAGTATGAAAATAATCATTCCTTATGTAACAGACAACAATAATATCAAACTGCTGTGTAAGACCACACTGAAATTTCTTATCCCAATAGCTGTCTGTGGGAAGCATCAGTGTGGTCACAATGTGGTCCTGGTATTTAATTGCTGCTGCTGTCTCATCCTGTGACTGCCTGTCATCTAGCTCCCCCACAGTGCTGCTCACCTCACCCACACCATGAGGGTAAAGGGATGACATCTTCCTTGCCAACACGGGAAAATGAGGGTTCTGCAAACCCTTTGGAAGCAAGAGGTTTTAAGTGATGTGGTATGGAGTGGGCAAAACTGATTGAAGGAAGCCAACACTCCTGGCTGAAGATTCTGATTTTGTCTATATCGTTCCCAATGATCTGTTACTGCTTTTTGCATAGTAATACGAAGTTCTGCTCAATGCTTCCTTGATGCATGCTTTTGGAGAAATGCAAGCTGGCATCCCCAAAAATCAGGATGTCCTGATGTTGGAACCAAATATTTAGTTGTGACTTAACAAACAAACAAAAACTCTAAAAACCCAACCCTTTCTCCCCCAGCACGATTCATGGCTTTGGGAAATGATGTCCTGCTGCACAAAGGTGCCATTCCTTTGTCCAAACCTAATGCTGTTCTATCAGCTTTTCCTTCCACATCATTCTCTCCTGCCTGTGTTCCTGTACCAAGTCTAAGCCATCACAGCTGAGCTCGGGCGCAGTATTTTGTACACATTCATGCTGTTTCTACCCCAACAGGAAAAAGACCCAAACCCTTATATCAAATGCTAGCAGAATCCCACGTGCTGTACTTACAGCGTAGCTTGGTGTTCCTCCTTCTTCTCTTATGCCCCAAAGGATTGAACTGGAGGGATTCCTGCGCTCTTTAAATGCAGGGGCTGCTGCTGCTGGCCTTATAGGCAGGGAGGGGAGGGGAGGGGAAGGAGAGAGGGCTTTGGGGATCTGAGCAATGCCATTGCTATCGCCAAGCTGAAAATAGCTGCTGACAAAAGCCTGGCATTTTGTTCCCTTGTGTCCACTTGTGAGTAGGTGGACAACAATGCAGCCCCTCAGATGACACCTACAGCACATTCCTGAATGCAGCCTAATGGATCATAAATAAAGATGAAAGCTCAGTAGTTGCTGGAGTGTTGCTTGGATGTGGAACGTAAGAATCCTGAAATGAGAGCTTAGTCATAGTCACATTGCCAAAAATAATTTACCAAAATAATTAAAAATGTTTATCAATATTTATGTGTGTGTGTGTCTATGTTTGTATTTAGCCCCTGTGAGTTTAAGTATTTGCAGAGCAAGATGCTTCTTTTAGTTTGTGACTTTCTTTGGTGGCAAAACAAGCTCAAACGCCACTGCATTTCATGTAATTAAGTAAGTTAGCTTATTTTTATGGTTATAAATGGGCTTTCCAGAGTTCTAAGTTGATTGTAGTGTGGTCTTTTTTTTTTTCCCCACAGTTTCTTTCACCACTTTTACTTGTCACTAATGAGTGTGGGGTCATCCAGAAGAAGTTGTCCTCCCTCCTGCTGGATTCCAGGCCTTATACCCTATCTGACAGTATCTCTCATTCAGAAAGCAAGATCAAGTGTTCATGCCCCTTGCTGATTAAATACCATTTTCCCCTTCTTCAGAGTCCTTCTCTGACCAAAAACACCCCAACAAAAAACTACTACTGTACAACATATTACACAACTCCAGTAATTTAATTTCATTAAACAAAAACAAAGTCAAAATGTTTGTAATTTGTCTGAACAAATAGCTTTTACAATATAACATAAATAATTCTTAACTTACATACAATTTTTTTTTTGTTGAAGACTTTTTTGAACTAACTTTACAGAAGAGGAACACTGAACATAGGAGCAAGATAAATTCTAACTCTGGCCTTTTAGTAAAACAAAATATAACAGTATATGGTAAAACAAAATAAAACAGTACTTTCTTTGTGCAAAACATGTACTGATAGACTGTACCTTTCTGTACAATTTCAGCTTACTTTGCATAGCAGAAAAGCAACACGAGACGTGAGATACAAAACTCAGTTGCTATAACACTTTAGGTAAGCCTTGTGTAAAAATACCTAACTTTCTCAGTAAAGCCAGTTTTAATTCTAAAGCATTCAGGCAATTCCAGCATTGTTGTCAATTCACATCCAAAACACACCTTGTCCATTGTAGAGCTCATTGTGTGCAGTGTGTTATCAGTAATTATGCCTGCTAAAACAGTCAGTCACTCAATATCCAAAGATCAGTTTTCTGAGACTTCAGGTTTTCATTGAGGAATACATGAGGTCCCTTGAGAGATTGTATCAGTGCCACATGAGGGCCACAAAGATGGCAAAGGGCCTGGAGCATCTCCCCTATGAAGAAAGGCTGAGTGAACTGGGTCTGTTCAGCCTTGAGAAAAGACGACTGAGAGGGGACCTGATCCAGGTCTATAAATATCTGAGGTGTGGGGGGCAGAATGGCGAGGCCGGACTCTTTTCAGTGGTGAGTGGAGACAGGACAAGGGGAAACGGCTGGAAACTGCAGCATAGGAAGTTCTACACAAACATGCGCAAGAACTTCTTTACAGTGAGGTGACGGAGCACTGGAACAGGCTGCCCAGGGAGGTGGGGGAGTCTCCTTCTCTGGAGATGTTCAAGACCTGCCTGGATGCCTACCTGTGCGACCTACTGTAGGGAACCTGCTTTGGCAGGGGGGTTGGACTCGATGATCTCTGGAGGTCCCTTCCAACCCCTACAATTCTGTGATTCAGTGAGTTTGCAGGCAGCACAGGCACTGTGTTCGGCACTCCTGGTGTGTGGAAAAAGTTTTCTGTCATTGTCTGAGGCTCCGGGGGTTCCTTTAGCACAACAGGCTAAAAGAAAAGGGAAAGCTAACTTTCAGTTAAGAAAAAGTAGTCAGTTCTTGCTGTAGGTTTCTGCAGAATGTTAGCAAACACACTTTTTCCTCAAATTCAGAAATCTATCAGCTCTCTGTGGAGAAGAGTATCCTTTTACTTGCTCTGCATCTACATATCCATATATATCTGTATCTATATCTACATTATGAGAAATCAGTTTATTTCTATTATCTCCTCCTATCTCCTTTTTTAATACAAACTGTAGGCAATACAGCATTATACAAATAGGAGCTGAGAGCAAATTAGGAGGATACTGAGGAAAGATAAGGCAATAAACAGTTTATAAGCGCTTGTCATTTCATATCCATCCAACATCCTCTCAGAGGCTCTTCACACCTTGTCATCCATCAGTTCCTCCAGCTGGCTCCACTTTCTCAACAAGTAAGATACTTTTTCTTCCTTTCTAACCTCTCAATTCTATTCTGCTAGTGCTAGTTGTCACTTTTTTTGGAAGGCAGTGCTGGATGATGAATAAAAATTGAAAAAGTGTTCATTTTAAAGTTTTGCCTGCTTAAGGAATTACTACACTGTTCTTTCCCACTCAACCTATGGTTAAGCAGTTGTAATATATTGTTTCTTACTTTTTCTTCTTATAAGGTCATGTTTTCTGTGCTATGTTTATTGCATTCTGTTCTTGATGGGATTGGGATATGCTAAAGAACAGGATTTGCAGGAACTTGCACACCAGCAGGTATTAGTCGTGCATGTTGCAGTGTAACGTGCAAGAGTGAAGCACTTGGATTTGGGACAGAGCTGGTGTTGCTAGAATTGAGATCGGAGTTGTTCAGTACAGGTGCAGCAGCTACAGAAGTTGGTGACAGCATGATGTTCAAGGATGTGTGAAAAGCTGGAATGTGCTTTCTGTTCAGATGTCATCATTGGAATGGCACCTAAAACAGAAAAAAAAAAAAACACTGTAAGGATTGAAAATTGAAACTAGAGACCTTGCATTGTGATTTCACAGCCCTGGTAGGACGAATCTGGCTCACAATCATTCAAACCTGGCATCTGTGTGCATATTTCATTCAGTACTCACCTGCAGTGGGTAAACTTTGGGTAGCAGTGTGCTGCAATGAACATAGCCCAGCATTCTCTCTATTAGGAAGACCTGCATTATTGCTATGGTGAGTGCACTGAGTAAGAGGAATGAAGTAGCCAGATGGAAAAAAGGTCTGAAAAAGAAAAAGACAATACACAGTTACTCCAAAGGTGTAAGAAAAAAAAAAAGTTTTTCTTCAAAATCACATTCCCCTTGCCACTTTCTTATTCTATATTCCTCATATCCCCAGGGCTCAGTATTCCACACTGGCTGCCATCTGAAAATTGGACTCAGTCGACTCAAAGCCATGCTCCAAAACAAGGCTGTCCTCATCCACACAAGTCACCCAGATTCATTCCCAGATTATATGCTAGAGAGGAACTGCAGACCTATATGCAATTAACGCAGTGCAATTCAGCTAGGCAAAAGAAATCCTCATGTGTTGTTTTTTTTTAATAAACACCTGGGCTTAGTAATTGTGTCACCTCACTCCTAGATTGTGTTTTTTCTCATGGCAAATATCAGAAGGCAATCCTTTGGCATTTGTAAGTTCTGTTTTTGACAGTAGAACTGTTTGTGATTTGCAAGTTCACTGTAACAATAAGTGAGAACTGTGGTGAGTTTCACTGCAGTTCTGTTGTACATCAACGTATCGTAAACTAAATGTTAGTATTCTAAACTAAAAGAAGTAACAGTCTGGAACCGTATGAGATCTCAGTATTGCTTTCATCTACTTAGTGATCTTCATCCCAGTCAAAGCCTGAAAGTCGCTTCAGGAGAGTCCTGTCTTAAGCTGATTGCTGTTGTTTTTTCTAAAACATGCTGTATAATAATCCAACTAAAGGCAAATCTATATACGTGTAGTTATTCAGTTTTGTTTATTTTGCATTCTTTCATGTGGTGTTTTCCCAGGTAGCAGCAAAAAATGCTGTGCTGTGTGGCAAAGCTCACCTCATGAGCAGGACTGGCAAATGCCACAGGTGCATCTTGTTTAGTTTCGGTTCTGTTCTCATCTTCTGGAGCGCATTCTCTTTTGCGCTGCTCAGAACAACCTGCCCCGCTCTGATCAAGTGTTTCAAATCTGTTCTGTTTTTATTCCTGGAAGTTGTCCGTTTCGTGATTGGTTTGTGAGCCAATGGAGGGTGGTCTTTTGTGTTTCGGGGGTTCTCCCTTTAAAAGAAAACGCACATGAAAAAAGCAAGCAGGCACTGTAAGAAACATGACATTCTTAATTACAAATGTACTATGATAGCCATATATTTTATAAATCAAAAAAGCAGAGTTTCTTCTGATTCTCGGTTTGAGTCAATAAGAGAACCAGTTCCACGTTATCCCCTCTTGCTCCTTCAAAGCTGGCAGGTGGTCAATGCCACACATTGCCATAACCCTCTGGTACCATTTCATTGCAGTTTTGACAAGCACAATTTGAAGCAGCGTAATAATTTACAGACACTAAAGCATGCAGCAACTGAGGAGTGAAAGATGATCCAGACCCAGTTTCTTCATGTGCATCAAGTGCATCTGAACCTCTTGTTCTCTTTGTGTGTCGTATTAAAATCTCTTAACCAAGTATAACATTAGGTAAATACGTCCAGAAGATAGCAGGATGTGGGAACATGCCCTGTCCAGCAGGTTTTGTGTGCCCACTTTGCCTCCTAACGCCTTTACAGCCAAGAACAAGAACCCTCATATGAAAATGAGGAAGAGGAGCTACACCAGAACCATTGTATATAAACAGATTATCTGTATATAAACAGATTAAGTCCTGAAATAACTTTTCAGGAATTGTATCTTTTTGACAACAGTTGTACTCTTAGTCATACCTTCTCAGAAATAAAAAATTGGAGGGGCAAAGGGGGAAAATGAGAAAATACAGCCTGATTCCAGGCTGGGTTTTTGAAGATTTACATTGTGCTGAGTCCTGTATGTTCTGCCTGATGTTTTAAAATACCAAGATTACTTTTTCTATGTAACAAACCCAAACCAATTTCTACAACAAAAATCAGCTGCCAAGATGACTCCTTTGTCACTTGGCTTCTTTAGTTAATGGAAAAATATGACAACATCTGCTGGGTTCCTCAATCACTTTGAAAACAAACAGATGACACCATCACAAGGCTATAAACCAGGCTGACAGAAATCAACTTACCACAGCATTATCAAGGCTTTCCATATTACTTCTACACTTTTTAATCAAGTTACTCTCTTGTAGTGCCTGAGACCTCTTAAGGCAGCTCTTTGATGAAGATTCAGATTCCATAACTGGTCTTTCTTTAGCTGCTATGGCTTTTCCTAGATCAGCTGCAGCTGTGCAATTGTCCCCTTCCTTGCTGGTCATTTCACTTAATGCTTTTGGATTAATACTTTTAATTCCTTTCACATTAGCACGCGGTAGAGGCTGCAACATGAAACTTGGGCTGTATGCTGTCACAGCTTGAGAAGGATGCAGATACATTGCATAGGAGGCACCAGAAGGAGGCTGAGGTTGCATCACTGCTGATGCTGACTGGTGGCTTGGAGGCAGGGCACCTAATGGCCGAATGAGAAGAGGCTTTGGAGGGGTTGCAGCAGTGTGAGTGTTGGCCTTGGGAGCTGCCTCAGGCCAGGGCAGACTGTGCTCCAAAACAGATCCTGACGGATCATTTTTCATGTCTTCTGGTCTCCTTAAAACAAGAAGTCAAAACACATATTTTAGTATTTTCATACAGAATGCCCTAGATGTTTTTAACATTACAAATTCACGCTGTCTTTGTATGTCTTGATAAACTGAACAGAAAACTCCAAGTGAAAAAATAGCCTAAAGCACCAGAGGTTTCAGGTCCTTGCAGATCGCTGCCCAACTCAAAATAAGCATAGATTAAATTTAACAGTCAGTGACAAAAAGCTTCCAAACACAACACTTGTGCAGACTTACTTTGGTGGTTCTTCCAGCTGATATTGAGGGGCTGCTGCAAGCTGAGACATTTCATTTGTATAAACTGATACATTTTCATCTGTACCTGCTTCAAGGGAGAAAACAAAAACATTTTGCTATCAGTTTTGTTCTAAGTGAAATTCAATCTTGAGACTGCATTATTTCTACTATTATTTCTAATTGCAGAGCTTATTCTCTGTAGATGTGTTATTTTAGATTTGTTTTCGCTATCAGTCTCTTAAGGCGTCAAGATTTACAGGCAACATACACTTATTTCCCCCATCTTGTTTGTTTCTGTCTTTTTTTCCAACAATAGTTGTTGTAAGCAGGAGATCCACTCATCCACTTCTATCAGAAGGCAAGCCTGCATATTTAATACAAGACTCCACATTCAAGTGAAAAACACGACTAGAAAGAGAGAGAGACAAATACAGTTTTCAGCTATACTTGTGCTTATTTTAACTGGACTGGTTGGAGGAGAATTGGATCTTCCTTCTGTCACTTTCTATACTTCTAACCAACTTTATTAGGGATGGATGCTGAGTGAAGTTTTGCTTTACTCTTGAAGGAAAAAGATTTTTTGAATGTTGCTCCTTGGAAGTGGTAGATTCTGAAATACCTGAGATGCAGGGTGCTGATGTTGTTTTAAGCTTTGTAGCTATAAAACCAAATAAACAGAAGAGTTTTATATCATACGTAAATTCAGATATATCACAAATATATTCAGTAGTTAAAAGCAATTATTTGAGCCTGGCTTATAACTACTGAAGTACCGGGCAGCGGCAAAAATGGAAATGCAAGTATAAGAACACATACTGTGTGCCTTATATGTGCTCCTCTGAGAAATACTGCACTGTTGAGAACCAACTGCAATGATGTGAACATCACAGACTTTCTGCCCCTTTTACTCAGTATTTTGGTTAACAGCTTTCTAGGAGAGAAAAGGAAGAAATCGCAATCATCAGCAAAACAGAAGAAGGTGGTACATATATGTACCATCGGTGCTCAGTGGGACTTCAGGTCCTGTCCATTTAAATGCTGGTTTTCTCTCTCCTCTGTTGCCTCTCTCCTCTGTTACATAGACTTTCTCAATAAGCTTAAGGCTTCTGAGAACGTTCGCTATGTCATAAAGCCTCTTGATTTTAGCTGAAATAAACACATATAAAGCAGAGCAATTTTTAATAAGAAGTTACCATTGATCTGATTTTAAAAGTTATGATGTATTTTTAGTGTTTGAAAGGAAAAGTCATCATTTATGAGCACCATTTTGTGGAACATGTATTTGTATTATAAAATAACATGACAGACCACAACTTTTTTGTTGCATTCATACTGTTTCACTAAAAAAGAATAAAAAATAGAAAAAGAGTTTGCCTGAGAACCAAAGGAGTAAAATTTTCAGGGAAATGCAAGATGAATTACTGATCCTTCAAGAGCAAGCACATTCTCACCTATTAGAATACACCAATCTAAACCTCAAAGTACCTTTATATCTGAATGGAGAGGAAGAGGAGGAAACGTGCAGGGAACTGAAAGCAGGGTAAAACAGTGAAGAAACAATTGGCAGTTACAACATTGGGTTTCACTTCCTCACCTGTTTAAGCGATTAGCAGGACTTTTACAGTATCTCTTCAGGTTTCCCTCGAGTAAGTAATGTGACCTGAACACTTATTTGCATGCTGCTGGGGCACCTTTGCTGAAATGACGCCGAAATGTTTGACAGGTTCCTTGGGAAATCACTACCAATAAGCAGAACCTACTTCACGCTGGAAAGATTTCCCAGACTTCTCTTACGTGACATGTTTGAACAGTGATGCACAGGTGGGTCCCTGTGAGAACTGTGCAAAGAGGTTTTGGAGGTTCAAATACCTTCATGGCAAGATGACAGCATTTTACACTGCACAGTCTTGTAATGGATTCGCTCATTTAGCTTACGCTTGATTTCAGAAAGCGATCAAGAAGCAGACAGGAATAGCAGCCTTTTACTTACTGTTAAACTTGCTTTTATCTAAGTCTTCTATCTGATCTTCTCCAATAAAGATTTCAGCAGCAACTTCAAGGCTTACTATTTGAGGTGCTGATACAAGAAGCAGCACCACAAATTTCTGACTCAGCACTTGCAGAGACTTGCCTTTCCGGCTATTTATAGAGGCTGCAGAAGACAGGAAAAGAGGATTAAAGCATTAAGTGACATGTCAGCTACAAACATTTTTATTCTGCTATTCTGTGATTCTGTGAAATTTGTCAGCAGCAACTACGCAGGGCCGACACAGAGCCCAGAATCTAGTTTCTACATGGCGATCATCAGGAAGTCAGGTGAATGCCATGACTAAGTACAAAACAGTGTGATGTATTGCCTTGTATAGCTCTCCTATCATCTGATTTGTACTCCTTACCTGCAGATTATGCAATGTATGTAACACTCCTCAGTGAGCATGTCTTCTACAAATCAAATTTAATGGAGTCATTTAGGCTTCTGGCTTCTATTGCTTCCATAGGTAACAAACCTGCTACTTGGCTATGTTTGTTACATCACCTGATGCCCTTCTTGTTCTCGCACTCTCAAAACCAAAATGTGTTCTTAAGAATTAAATGGGTAAGACAACTGAAAGAAAGCACAGAGTTCTTCCACCCATCACAGACAGACAGCAGCGTTTTAAACGTAAAGACTGATACATTTTTTTCCCCCATGCGCATATTTATAATCAGGAGCAATGTTATTCCTGGCATATAGAGAAACCTTACCAGCACAGAATTCGGTTCCTGGGAGCTCCACAGAACATATTTCTGAATGCTCATTGGAGACGAAAGATCTTGCTGCTTCTTCATTTCCTTTGCCATCCACATCAAACTTGTGCTCGTACTTTCTTTTCTAGATCACCTGAATTTTTTCTGTGTATTTGTTCTCTTCTCCAATTTTCTTCAAGGTCTGCAGGATTTTGGCAAGGTTATGCCGCCCATGCCAAATGTGTATGTTTCTGGCAACATGGCTCACCATGCGGAGGCTCTTGAGCACATTCACAATCCTGTAGATACGTCTACGTTTAACATCTGCAGAAATGAAATGCAAGATTAACATGGCATCTCAGTCACATAAAATGTCTTTGCCATTTACCTGAAATACAGTTTGCACAGAAAAAAAGATGAGTTTGCTATGCTTCCCCCTCTTAATTTGCTTGTAAGGCATTTTCTAACAGGATGTTCTTTTGTCTAACAATCTAAAAATAGGATTTGCTATAATGATTCAAAAAATGTTACAGCAGTGTGGTTTACATTGGCTTCCCAAACTGCAGAATATTGCAATTTCATCGTTCTTACAGAAGAAGACCTTCAGCTTTATGTCAGCATTTGGAATCTTGGCAGATGATTGGTGAGATACAAAAATAGTGACGTAAAATGAGAAAGTTGAGTTATCAAAGGCAGCAGAAAGTAGTTTCTTACTTTGGTGTAGTGATGTACAGGAAGCTGCAGGTTCGGGTGCCAGAAATGCTGGCTCCTGCCATAACAATCAACTGCTGATCTTTGCCATCATTTCTATGCCAGAAAATCCCAACAGCTTATTTGTGTTATCTGCAATAACTTAGATGTTTAATATTAAGCAAAATTCTGAGTTTATTAGTTCAGCTTGCTGGAGAAACTACAGCGGTTTAAGAGAGTTGAAGTAAGAAAGAAGAGTTTGAAGGTTTAGGTGAATGAGAGCACAAAGTAAGCATTCAGACTTCTATGGAGTGAAGCAGTACTGCACAACAGGAGGGTGATTTATCAGCTTGTGCATAGGTGGACATACAGTAGGATATACACCAACTTACTGAGCTCCTTGACTACTTCATCAAGGTAAATGTAGTTGTCCTCCACAGCGCTGGGATAATCTGGATACTGAGCCAGGAATTTAAGGCATAGCAATCCCAGGCCTTTCTCTTTGTGACTCGGTTGAAATATTTCATATTCATCTCCTGATAAGTGCTCCTATGCAGAAAAAGAATTTGAGAAGTTTTTACAACGGATATGTCAATATAAACAGGTTACAGAGCTTCCCTGCCAGCACAAAGTCTGGCATTCTCCTCTGGCCCTGCGAGATGGCAGAACTGTAAAGACTGGAAGAGACCTCTGGAGATCACCCAGTCCAGCTCGCTGCTACAACAGGTGTACGAAACGAGTTTTACGTCTGGAAAACACTGCAAAGCAGAAAAAGCCGACAACCAAAGGGGCAGCGCGCGGAGGCGGCCGGCCGGGGCGTACCTGGCAACAGCAGGAGGGTTCCTGCAGCCCCCGGCTCCGCTCGCGGTTGCGCATCTCGGTGCTGGCGGCGCTGACCAGCACCTTCAAGTTGGCGGTGGGCGTCCAGGGCTCGCCGGGAAGGGCCTCCTCGGGCTTGGGGGGCGTGGCGAGCGGCTGACAGCCGGGCTGCAGCTCGGCCAGGGCGCGCTGAGAGCCTCCCACCTGCTTCTGGGCAGTTCGCAGCGACCCCCGGGGCTGATTCTCCTGCGGAGAGAAGAGAGGAGACGGGAAGGGCAGAGCCGAACGAGCGCTGCCGAGCCTCAGAGCGGCGCCGGGGCGCGGCGGGCCCGGCCGCGGTACCTTCTCTCCGGCGTCCATCTGCGCCCCCGGCCTCAGCAACGGCCGCCACCGCTCGGCATGGCCCGGCCCCCCGCCCTTCCGGGATCCGGTTTAAATATTCGGCGGCCGCCGCCCGTCTCGGGAGCGGCAATACCGCCCCGCGCCACTCCAGCCACCGGTTTGAACCGGAAGCGCGGAGCCGCCGGCGGAGAGGGGAGGCGCCCCGGCCAATCGGCTCGCGGTGCGTTGGCTGGCTGGCGGCGCTGGAAGGGGCGAGCGGAGGGCGGGGTTGCGTGCCTCCCGCCGCTCCCCCCAGCGGCCGCGGTGCGGCATCGCCCACCTAGGGACCGCCAGTCGCGCCCGCTCTGCGCCGGCCGAAGCTGGTGCTGCTCGCGCTGCTGTGCTTCAGGAGCCGGCCAGGTGCTCGCCCACAGCGGCCGCTCCGTTGTTCCCTTGAGCTCCCGGACGCGTCCTTGGGTTCAGGCAGACCTTGGCCCCTCGGGGCGTGGGCCTTCTAGGTGTCCGGTGAGCACACGGCTCCGTTTGTGTTTGTTTCCGTTTCTCAACAGAAAGGAAAAGTGGATTCTGAGCGAGAAGCAGTCACTGGGAAACGCAATGTTATCCTTATTTAGGTGTCTCTGCAGTGCTGATTTCTTCCAAAACCCTGCAGCCACAGGGGTGATGGTATTCACACCTTTCTCCTCATTTTCCTCTGGTTGTGCTGTAACCAAAACATATCTTTGTTTCAGGAAGTAACTCCAGACTCAGCCTCTCAGAAACACAGGAGCACTCGGGGCTCGCTGCAGGTCAGACTTCTTTTACTTCCTTGCGTCCCCTACAAAACTGTGGTGAGGTCGTGTAGACCTGCTTGGGGCTCTTTACCATGGCATGTTGTTTCACTTGCAACTTCACCCAAGACAAAACGATTGTTGCACCCCAATAAAGCAACTTCTAAAGATGAAATGTGTGCTGTAGAGAATGAGGGCAAACAAAATGATAGGTGTGTTTGTAGTCAGCCATGAGGTCTGGATGCCATCTCAGGTGTTGTCTTCACCCTGTATCTCTGCAGGCAGGAGCAACACCTTTAATTTAATTTAATATTCACTTGTTTCTTGTTAAATGAGAGATGTTGAGCCAGCTGGTCCAAATCAGAGACAAAAGGTGGGAAAAAAAAAGGTGGAAACTTGAAATCCTAAACAAACCATATGTGCATTTGCTTTTTTTTTTTTTTTTTTTTTTTTTTTTTTTTTTTGTTCTGGCATGCTAATTTCAGAGAATGTTAAATCAAACTTGATGCATGCAGCAGAAGCTACAGTCAAAGAACATTAACAACGTGTGTATAATCAATGGATATCAAGATGTTACAATCACAAAATAAACAAGAGAGTTAGGCAAAGTGGATTATGATAACAAGAGAGAATAAATGGAAGGCTTACCCTTCAGCTTGGCTCACTACAAAAAACCAGAAGGAGGGATCTCCAGGCAAGATCCTTCCCCACTGGGAGCCAGCTCTTAAATAGGTCCAGGAGGGCTGGAGCCTGGCTCTACCCCTTCCGGCAGCACATCTGAATTGCCTTCACCTGTGCTCCTCTGGCTGCCTCATGGCTCGCCTCAGGTGATTAATCAGAGGTTCAGCCCATGACTCAGCAGTTCCCATAAAAATGTGGTACACAGAGAAATAGAAATGTAGCACTTAAGTGCTTCACTTTGGCAGGTACATTCTTCCTGTTACAATTAATTATCAAGAAAAGAAGACAAAAGCACAGACATATATCCAGCATGAAATGCATCTGAGCTTCAACAGGTGCCTTCATCACACTGTTAAAGAGTGTAGAGAGCAAAAAGCTCAGAATGCTTAGGCTATAGAGCATGTTTCTGCTTCAGATGCCTCTTTGTAGTCAAATGTCTCTAAAAGCAGATGTTCATTCAAAGCCAATTGCTAGACAAATTCCATTCCCCTCAGTGCTTTAGCTGAGAAATGATATGTGGTGTTAAATGGGGCATAACTGGCAGAAGACTTTTTACTGTAGCATTAACAGAACAGTCTGTGCTACTGTGGTACCACTTCTGGTTCACTTGAATGCATTCACAATGTTCTTATGTTGAACTGTTTGGCTTAATTCATCTGTTGGTTTGTGTTGTGTTCCCACCAAAGAGAGTAAACAGACTTGGACTGGGGGGATTACACCAAGAATGAATTTGGTTCAGGAATGCTCATAGTGTTTGCTGTTAAGAATTTTTCTCCACTTCAATTCAGTTGCTCCCCAGAAATTTTGTACCATGTTATATCTCCTTGAAATTGCTCTTCACATGCCTTGCTTTGAGCATTCTGGCTAGCTCAGTCAGAATATCCCTTTTCATCTAAAGGTGCTTCTTGCTCTGAGGCTCTGTTGTTTCACTTCCAATGGCTCATTTGCTTCATGATGCTCTTTTAAGCGTGCTCCTGGACAAAGCCATCTGCAGGAGCTGTGTTCTCATGGGCTGTCAGACAGCACACTGATGGGGATGTGAGTGCGTTGTAATTCTGTTGGTCATATGCTGATGAATGGCGTCTCAGAATTCCTCTTTCCATGTCTGTGCCACCTTTCTTATTTTTGTAGAGTACTCAGCACCATATGTCCTGCATCCAGGCTATTTCATGGTGTGTCTGAAGCTCAAACTGATTTGTCTGTTCTGTGGATTCCACACTGTGGAAATGGTAGTAAAACTGCTTAATTCTTGGAAATGGCATGCATTATAATGGCAGAAAGGGAACAGAGGTTTTGGAGTTAATTCTGCATATGATTAAAAGCAAAATTTTGTTGAAAAATCTTCCCTTTAGTTGGTTTTCCTGTATCTTCTGTGTGTGCAGAGAGTTATTCACTGCTACAGAGATAACCTTTTACATTTCCCTCTGAGAGAATGCTGATTGAGTGCAGTAAATCCACCACAAAGGCCATAATATCTGGAATCAACTTTACCTGCACCTGCAATCTTCTGTTCCAAATGCCATCTGTATTGTAACACTTCTCTGAAATAGAAGAATTCTGGATAGAGCATCTTAACCAAGCTGAATTATCTTATCTGCTGTGTGGGGATTAAAGTTGTCAATGTTAATTATCTTTGCCTTCTTCTCTGGCCGTTTTTTTTCCTTGACTATGCTCAGAGTTCATTATAACTCTCATGCAGCAAGAGATTTAGTGAGATTCTACCGAAGTATCTATTTGCTGACATAGCAGGCACACACGTCCACTCTTGCAAAGGGGATGGTCAGGGGCTTCTTGCTGATGGATTCCAGGTGGTGGTGTTCTTGTTCAAGTCCCAGCTGAGTTTATATTCCGCTTGGAATCTTGTTAGGTTGGAAAGTGATTTAATCTGCAAGAAGATGGAGATGTTTTTGAGAAATATTGAGGTTGTAAAGCTGTGTTATTGGTAGAAAATAGTGCTGTGTGTTCTGCTGAGAGTCAAGCTGTCCTTTTACTAGCAGTAGTGATGGAAGAGGGGGGAAAGAGCAAAGAAGGATGACTAAATCAGTCTCAAAATTGCATAGACTTGTCAAAGATACACTGGCACGTAGCAATGGTCTCTTAAGCCCACGTGTTTCAAACCATCTTTCACTTTATTTGTTATTAGAAAGGTGTTTAGTCAAGCATAAATAAGGCGAAATTATGTCAGCTAATTTATGATCTTTTATTCAAAGAAACATGCATTTCCTCCTTGTTTTGTTGTATTTCTGCTGAAGGCATGGCACGGGAGGTTAACAGCTAAACTGGGACACTTAGGGTGCTGTCTGGACATCCTTGCAGTGCAGATGGGGCGTAGGCAGTACTTTGCAGCACTGTGTATCATGCTTCAATAAGGCACAGGGGATGGTGAACACACACTGCTGCATGCCCATCAAAATGAAATCCAATTTGTTTTGTTTGGCAGCTTCATCACTTCTTTGCAGAGATGATAATTCTCTGAGGATGTTTTCTTGTGAAGATAGAAAAAGAAACTTAGATGTGTTTGAATACTCATTCCTTAGCTATCTTGTGTTTTGTTTTGAACCCCATGGAGAATGCAGGGAAATGTGTGGTGCTTTAACAAAGAAAGTTTGTTGGTTTTTTTTTTAAACTTCTGGCAAGGGGAAATTTTGCATCCAGTGAAGATGATGATTAACTTGGGTTTTTGCTGTGAATTCCCTGCTGGCACTGCTCCCAAACCTGGTCTGTCAGTCAGGTACACAAGATTGTGCAGCGTTGCAGCGTCTGCTCCTTCTTCCCCTAAAGGGATGGATATAGTGTTCAGCCACAATGGAGAGTTGTCAATTAAAATGGAAAGACACTCAGCGTACCGCACTCATGAGGTGAAGCATAATAGGCTGTTAGCAGGCACGGAGGCACCTTTTTCAAGGGCCATTTATTCCAAGGACACTTGCTGTGCTTCCTTTCGAGTACACAGGATTCATATTTTCACTGTTCCTTTGGAAAAGGGAAGCCTCTTCTTTGCAACACGCTGCAGTGTGAATGATGCTCGGCAGTGTGCGTGCACCTGGTGGGTCAGGCTCCTCCACAGCAGTGGGCTAGAGCAGCAACCGGCTCTTCTCATACCTATTTGCTATTGTTATTTCATGTCTGCTTTCATCAGCATGCAGAGATGTCAGCTGAAATGAAGTCTCTATTTTGGTATTCTGTTCACAACCACTAAATGCCCGAGGAAGGATTTCCCAGGTATGAGGGGAGTTTATTTGAAAACTGGGTTTAGGTTTTCTAAACTCAACTGTCGTAGTTAGCTGTGAGCTGTTAGCTGCATTCTGTAGGAACGGGCAGATGTAAGTACCCGATGCTACAATATGGCACGGACTGATGCCACTGAGGGGGCACTGGAGCCACTTACCAAAGTCAAATTTGAGTTCATGTCCTCACTGCTTTTCATCAAACTTGTCCCTGAGATTATACGAAGTACAAAAGAACAACTTAATCCAACCTCGTTACAGCTTAGACTTGCACATCTGCCTTTAGAGGTATGTTGCAAATATTCAGTGTATAAAAGTACACTGCAAAGTGCAGGTGTAGAGCAGGCTGCTTTTCATCTGATTGCCAGTAGGTGTGAATATTAGATGTTATGCTAACAGAAAATGACAACTTCTGTTCAAACCACGGGGGAGAAAGCCTATAATTACTGTGGTTTCCTTTATGATACGTATATGCATTGCTATTTTTAATCTCCTGACTGATGTTGCTAGGTGTTAGGTAGAACCTTAACTTGTGTGTTTAGAAGTAGCTTATGTTAATGAAATATTTTAATTATTTGATGAAGCTATTATCCATGAATAGTAAAATCTGTTTTCTGCTGGCACACGCAGTTTGCTTGAAGGGAAAAAAGAAGAAACAAAGTAGTGATTACAGTGTGAAAGATTTAAAATGAACTTGTGAATTTTGGTAAAGTGCCACAAGCTAATAAACGGAGATGTGTCATTTAATGTCTGCTGTCTTTGAGAATACCGATCATAAACGTTGGATTAACAGTGGGTTAATCCAATTAAAATGTTTTTCTTAATAGAAAATAGCATTTTTTTAATTTGGAAGAAATGTCTTCTGAGTCTGATTGAGGTCTGAACTTGAATATTGGCGAGCTCTGGAAGTATCAGAAGCCTGAAGTACTAACAGTGGCTCCCCAGTACCAGGCATGTCAGCACTAACTTGAATGTAACTTATATCATTGAGGTTTCAGACCTGAACCAAATTAAGGATAAGAATTGATATATGCCTTGGACTGTGAGATGCTGGCTTTCTCGTGGGAGCAAAGCAATCCCATGAAAGTTCAGACTGAGGTCCAGACCCAA